AATAATTTGATTGCGGCTTTTTTTGCAGTGCTTGTTCTTCCTACTGCCTTACCATATACAGCTTCGGCCCACTGTTTTGACTAGTTTCTTCTCACTGTTTTGCCTTCCTACCCCTACCTCCCTTTTTCTCTTTCTATTGCTTTTTCTTCCTACTGCTGCTTTGACCATTACTGTTGCTGCTGTTTCTTTTTCTTCTTCAACTGTGTATTCTTGCTATTTTCACTATGCATGCCGTGGTTACGCATAAAAAGAAAATGAGGAAGAAAAGAAGAGAGAGATAAGAGAGCGACTTTAAATCGTGATTAATCTCGCATGTAAAGTCGTAGAGAAGAGCTTCTACTGCTTCCACTGCTTACAGGCCACTTCATTCCGTTGATGTGGTTCATAACGGTACTGGCTATACACAACAGCATTTTAAATGTTTTTGTTCGCTCCACCCCCTCCCTCTGCACGTCTAGACCGCCATCGACCGTCAAAGTTGAATTTGTGCTTAAAGAAAAGTGGGAATTCGGACAATGGACCCCCCCACCTTTCCTCTCTCTATTTGAAGCGTCTCCCATCTTTGGTCTCCCGCTGAATATCCATAGAATTCTTTTCTCTCTCTCTTGACCAACAAAAACAAACAAAAACTTAAAATACAACAACAAAAGAAAAACAAAAACTACAAGAGAACCAACTAACTAACAATGCGAATCTGGACTTGCAGTTTGCTCTCGTGTCTCGTGTCGTGTTTGCCATTTTTCCATTTGAAATGTTTATTGTCTAAAAGTTTTGAATAGAAATACGCTTTAGGAATTCCCTTCACTTGAGGGTATATTAGACTTGAGAGGGACTTTACAGAGGTACAAAAACTTTAAGGGGTATCCTGAGCATTGAAAGGAGTTGAAGATGAAAAAAATCATCTGAAATATGAAATGTAGTGCATTTTTGACTATTTTTTAGTTACAGGGTATTATTCTCTTCTCATTCTATACTCTTGTTTTCTTGAAAAATCGAATTGGAAAACCATTCAAGAGAAGACAAGAAAAAAGAGTAGCTTTCAATTGCACTTCAAATGTCACAAAGCGGCAAAAGGATTTATGGCCCCACAAAATAGTGTAAATGATGTTGAAAAGGTTCTTGGAAATTGTAAAACAACAAAAGAGGGTGCACTCTTTAAATCCTAAGGAAAAGTGAAAAATCTCTATTTAAAGTTACTTCCTGCTCAAGTAAATGGGCACCATAATACATTACCTTCTTAAGCGAAAGCTGCTCCCAAAGGTACTTCCAAAGGTCCCAAAAAAATATCTAGCAGTGAAACCCTTTTCTATGCCAAACAGTGGAGACACATTTATCACCAAAGTTCATCGGCTTCCAACAGCACAACCAAAACAAACGAAATCTTTGCTCCCATTTCGGTGTTTTTTTTTTTGCTCCAGTTCCCGGTTTCCTTATGCAAATTAAAGAAATCACTTTGACACTTGAAGACTTCACGGCTTTTTTGTTGTTGTTTGGACTTTTATAAATAGTTTTTTTTTTTGTTACCAATTTTTTTGTGTTTGTTGCTTTTTTTTGTGGTTAATTTTGTTCGTGTGCCGCTTGTTGTTGTTGGTGCTGCTCATTGCCCTCATTTGTCATTCGGTTGGCTTTTGCCCCACCCCCCCAACTCTCCTCAAAGGTAATCCGAGCGTCAATCCACTTCACTCTTCCACAAGGCACCCCACCCCACCGCAGCCTTTTGGCCCATTGTCTTTGACCATTTTGTGGCTCATGCCAATTGTTTTTATCATCGGGGAAACAACGTTCGTTGAAAGCGTGCAAATTCGCAAATTCGAATGCAAATTTAACACCTCCTCGTCGTCGTGGTTGACAAAAAACAGCGAAACAACAACAACAATAACAATAGACCCAAAAGAAAAGAAACAACAACAGAAACAATTGCAACAGCAATCCAACAACAGAAATACAAGACCCAAGGGAAGAATCGAAGCATTTGATACCGCTTTGGTGATCGAATGTTGAACAGAAAATCGAAGGGAAGATACTCTTCCTTTAGAAAATTCTTCACTTCTAAGATTTTTTTTTTCTTCTTTTCCGATTTTTCCTTCTAAGATTTTTCATTAGATGATACTTTCCGTTGGAAATTCTTCCATTCCAGCTGGAAATTTTTACCTTGAGATTCTTCCAAGATTCCATCAGAAATGCTCCCATATGAGAATTACCTTACATCACATACTTCCCTCTTTGCAGTTGCAAAGCTCTAAACAAAATCATCATACCCTTCGACCAGCGAATTAAAGGGTATTCCAAGAGGAAAGAAACATTTAACTTGTGTGAAAATTGAGCCGCAAATTGAAAATCAAGACGAGAAGCACAAAAATGTTGGGGCACACAAAAAGTGGGTTAAAGCGAGCATAGAAAATTGAATGCATCGGAGGGAGACAGGAAGAGAGAGAGAGAGATACCCTACCCTGCAATGACAAGAGGGCGTGGAGAGGGGAGTGAGTGAGTGACCAACAGCCAAAACGATTACCTCACTGCACCCATTCAAACACATACAAATACACACACCGAATGCACACACACACACACACCTACAAATGGAGACAATAACGTCATGCATCTGTGGTGGGGCTGTGACTGTGACTGCATTTTGTGTTGTGACTGCTGTGAAAGTGAAATTGAAATTTTCATGTGGTCAAGCACCCAGCAGCCATCAGTAGCAGCAGCAGCAGCAGTAGCCAGCAGTTAAACCAGAGAGAAAGGAGAGACAAAGCTATAATGAATACCCTTTGGAATGCGATCTTTTCTATGGGACATAGTTTCCTTATGCAGAGATTTTTCCTTGGTGGGGTGGATTCTTTGTACAGAAACTGCTACTTTAGGAGATTGTTCTCTGAAATCTTGTACGATTTATGTAAGAGCTGCAGCGAAATTTCTGTCCACTATCCATGAAAATGCACTAGAAGATGTGTTCAAAATATCAAATTTTTTTTTTAAAGAAATATTCAAAAGGTGATTCTTTTACGGAGTTTCTTCCTTGAGAGATTCCCCCATTATATTTTAAAGGAAGGGTATGCCTTTCTCTCTTTTGGAGCTGTCTCTCTCTCTCCCTCCATCTCTGTTGGAATTCCCAACGGTAGTTCACTCATATTTAACCCCTGTGTGGCCCCTGTTACGCATGCGCGCCATGAGCTCTGAGCCGCTGAGCCCTGGAGGCCCTGAGCTGGAAAGCCATTTACCCAAATCTGAGCTTTAAATTCGAGCTGTGGAAAAGAAAAGAAAAATCTGATGATTTATTTGGGTTCCTCAACTAAGGTAGGGGAGGAGGTCAAAAGATTGTTTCGCTTTCAGCTTTCTGTCTTTTACTCTCTGTGGCGACTGCCTCTGCCACTGCCACTGGGTGTGGAATGTGGTATGTGGCAAGCTTTTGCTTACTATCAAAATAACAATTAACTATCACATGTTGCTGGGGAGGTTTTTTGTTGCTGTGGTCTACACTTTTAATTGTGGCTTAAACTGGTTTTTTTTTTTGCGACAGCTTCCAGATGCAGACACAGACGGCAGACAGAGAGCAGCGCGTTGAAAGCCAATTAGCAAATATTTTTTACTTGGCATCTCTCTCTGTGGCTGCCACAGCCACAGCCACTCTCTCTCTCTTTCTGTCTCCTGCTAATCCGCAGACAAGTTAATCGTTTGTTGACCTCCCATCCCATACCATTGCCGACCCACCCATCAAGGATGAGGAGTGTAAGTCGTCGCCTTTTTCCATTGCGGTTTCGAGAGTGTTTTCTTTGGCAGAAATTTGCATAACGCGTTGCACAGACAGCAGTTCCTGGCTTCGTTCCTTCTACTACTGCCACATGCCACAAGCTGCATTCAGGCCAAGAACTCCATCAGAATTACACTCCACTCCACCACTCTCTCCGCTCTCTCTCTCTCTGTCTATCTGTCCCCCTCTGTGGCAGTTGTCGGGCTCTGTGGCAGCTTCTTTAGAGATTCATCTGCCAAGAAGTCACCACAAATCATGCAACATTCGAGTGTATTCGAATGTTGACTGCTTATCTTAACAGTTATCTCAATACAACGGTACTGCTGTCTGAGAGGCAGTCATATGTGAACGGTTACTACTACTGTCTCAAATATCAGCCAGGAAGGAGAAATACTCTCTCAGATACAAGCTATCATTTATGTTGTGGATAGCCTTTTACTGGTTATTTCACACCTTCATCTATGCTGATTTTTTTGCTATTAACTGAGCTTTATCTAGGGGCTATATTCATAAAAATGGCTTCCTTCTTTTCGCTGTTTTATCTTTTATTTATTTTTTACTGTCGGTTACAGCCATAATTATGGGTTTATCTTTGCTTAATCTAGAATTGTAGTACTCTTATATTATGCCTTTATCTTAGCTGAACTTTATTTAAGGCTTCTTTTCATGGTTTTTCTCGTCGTCGTTTTTACCCTTGATCTCTGATAAACTTAACTAAAAATGTTTTATCCAAGGGTTTTCTATTATCTTTTATTTGTATTTTAAAATGTTCTATAGCAGCGATAGGGCACGATTTTTGAGAGGTTGATAGAGTAAAGTTTTTTATCCCCTTGATGTGAAATTGTTTTAAAAGTTATTCCAGATGAAAGTAGAAGACTCTTTTTCTATGGTTTTATCTCTACTTTTGCTTGTTACCTTGCATTGCGGCTTCTTTAGCTTGTTTCTATTCTCTTCTCATTTCGTTGGCCAATTAAATTTTGGAAAATATACCAATTAGAGTGGAGTTGCTGCTTGCGTTGCTTGTGCTTCAGAGTTGGCTTTAAGTTTGCGCCAATTTGGCTAACAAGCAAACAGGCGAAGCAGCGAAGGGAAAGCCAAAAACAAACAAAAAAAAACCAAAGCAACCAACAAATACTAATAATAATATTGCATTCTCAACAGTTTCTCTCCGCTAGTGCTGTTCTCTATTTCATTTCATTTCATTTCATTTCTATTCTTCTTACATTTCTCCGTTTCTTTCTACTTCCAGACATGGCACAAAACGTGTTTCAGATGCACAGAATGCGGCATGACGCTCAATATGAAAACCTACAAGGGCTACAACAAGATGCCCTACTGCGAGGCGTAAGTACAACAACAACAACAACAAAAACCGGCCCAACCCCTAAAGCAGAACCCCCAAAAGCAGCCCACAATCAACCGTATCCACGCCAAAAGAATTTCAGAGAAGGGGGCAAACACCACACCGTTGGGGCAATCACGCCGCGGAGGGTCTTCTTATCGCGCGCACCCACTTTTCCACTTTGGGAATGTGATGGATACCCCCTCCCCAACCACTGGGCAGGGGCAGAGCGGCGTAGTCCCGTGCGGAGGGTGGTCAACCTTGATTTAGTGTACCTTTCTACCTTTCCCACCTTTTTACGCCCCATTCTCCTGCAATCTTCATTAGTGTCGTTTATCTAATCGCTAAAGAGAAAGAGAGAGGAAAAAGCGACGCAGTGGGAGCCATGGAGGAAGTGTGGGAGTGGGAGCTATAGAGGTACATATCTGGACAGATAGGGGGACTGCCTGAATTCGCTGGAAATTTGCAAAGTTTCTTCTAAACGAAATGCAGTTGCCGTTCCTCAGCATTCAAATGTAGCCGCTTTTCTCCATTTAAGGGGAAAAAGGCAGAGACCCCCTCTGCACTTCATTTAGGCGGGGTGGCAAAAATACAGCAGATGGTCGCGCACAAGCAGAGAGGGCGGACTTGGGTGGGAGTGGGAGTGGCAGTGATTGGAATGCGGAAATGCAGCTGTGTTGAGATTAGAAAATAGAGAAATAGGCAGAGGCAGAGGGGGGCAGACACCTGCACTGAAATGAGGAATTTGTGCCTTTAGTTCGTTGTTAACAAATCAACGTTTAGCATGAGTTTTCTTGTTTTATTTAGTGGAAAATTAATTGATTCTAGTGAAAATTAAAATGTAATCAGGCCCAAGCGGAGTCAGCTATCGAATTTATGAGACTTTTAGCATTAGTTTACCCTTAGAAGGAGTTAATTTTTGCATGTCGAAGAACATTTAATAGTTTGAAGATTTTCTAGCTATTTATTTTTTTCCAGCTCTGTCGTTGAGTTTTCCGTGTGAACGGCTTTCCCGGGCTTTTCTTCGTGACACACAGAAGGGTGGGGTTTTCCTGAAGGACTGTTTCCTGTGCTTCCTTTAAATCGCGATTTTCCCGTTGGGAATGTGTGCCACATGGGAAGTGTTCTTGCCCCTGTACCCCCCTGCCCTGTCATGTTTATTGTTACCACAGACAGAACACACACCAGACTCCCCTCACGTGCTGCCCTCCAAGCACAGAGACGGGGCAAGTGTTTTGCTTTGTATTCGGACAAAACTTTGACTCCGGACTCGACTCCTCTTGCATTTTTTTTTTTTTTGCTGCAGTGCGTGGCTGCTGCTGCTGCATTCGTTGGCCTTGAGCCAAGGGCCTGGGGGGAGGGGGAAAATGAAGGGTAGAAATTGGTTGTATCCTGGACACCCAGGACTACTGATCGTACTCCTCCTGCTGCTGTTGCTGCTGCTGCTATTCCTGCTCTAATGCAGATTTATTGTGGATGCCACCGCTGCGGGAATAAAAATTCCATGCGGATTGAGTTATGCGTCCGTTAGCTCCATTGCGCAGTGTGGTGCCCCCTATGCCCCCCTCCCTCCCTCTCTTTCACACTCTGCTTGTGCAACATTTCAGTGATGTCATCGCCTGCTGCATAAATTCTGCATTGTGGAAAAGCGGCTGCGCCTGCCAGTCAGAGGCAGGAAAAGCTTGTGCCGCTTTAGCGGTAACGCCCCATTTTCCGTTTGGCACTTTCACTGCATTTCCTCGAACCGCTTTGCACCTTCTATCAAACCGAATGTTGTCTGCCGCCTGCCAGCCTGGTGCATGCCCCACAGAGGCTCTAGAGCCGCTTCTTCGCTGCTCCCTGATTACGTGACCCCACGTACACACACACACGACTCTTATGGCTGTCTGTCTGCCTGTCTTTCTGTCTTCGACTTGCCTCTTTCCTATCCCAGTTCGGGTTCTCTTCTTTCTTCCTTTTCTTGCAGAGCTTTTCCTCTATCTTTGGACTAGATTTTCCCTGGACTTTTCCCGACTTCCACTTCAACTTCAGCATTTTGGTTTGCATTTTATAATTGCTTGAGAAGTTTCTTCTTCGGTTCTCTTCTGCTTCTTAAAAGATATTTCCAACCAAAGTTTTCATAGTTTTCGTACGAGAGAGAGAGGTCAAAGAGAGGGTTCCCCAGGGGTCAAGGGGGTCTTCTTCCTCTGGGGATAACACGATGGCCATAAATTATGAAGTTCATTCGCAGGATACGAGTAAATGAGGGAAACATGCAATTAAACTTAAGAGGGCCACACATACTCGTATTCGTACCCGCATGAGGCCCCAAAGAAGTGCCATCAGACGGCACTTTGATTGGTAACACTAGTCAACACGATTTTTCCTCAAGGAACAAAACGAACTTTTTCTTAAAGATTTGGGGCTTAGAAATGGTTTGATGATATTTTTTTTTTTCTATGGCAGAACTTTTTTTTAAAGAATTTTTGAAAACTGGTATTTTTTAAAGCTTTTTTCAGAGGTAACGCTTGTTTTTTCACATAACTCTAGTATCTTACGTCTGGTTGTAAAGAACTTTGCTATTTTGAAAAGATAATTGACGCAGCTAAAAGTTGATGCCAAACACTTTGTGATTTCAGCTTACCGTCTGGGAAATATAAAGCATTGAAATGCAAAAATGATGATTTGTGGGGTATTTAACGAAATTTTGACTTTAAAAACTCAGGAAAAGTCGAAAAAAAATTATATCTTGTGTCCCTATTTTGTGTATAGGTGCGTTAATTTGGCGTCGTTTAAGGTATCGCTTATTAAAATCTATGGAGAGACTGGAGCTAAAATTCGTTAACCAAACCTAAAAAATGGAAAAAATGAACAAAAAATACCTTTGAAGGCGGCGGGCCCAACTGCCAATTGGGAACAAAGGAACGCGATCAGGTACCAAATGTACAACCCTTGCTCGTTTGCTTTGTTCCCAATTGGCAGTTGGGCCCGCCGCCTTCAAAAAGGTATTTTTTGTTCATTTTTTCCATTTTTTAGGTTTGGTTAACGAATTTTAGAAGTTTCTCCATAGATTTTAATGAGCGATACCTTAAACGACGCCAAATTAACGCACCTATACACAAAAAAATAGAGGACACAAGATATAATTTTTTTTCGACTTTTCCTGAGTTTTTAAAGTCAAAATTTCGTTAAAAATACCCCACAAAAATCATCATTTTTGCATTTCAATGCTTTATATTTCCCAGACGGTAAGCTGAAATCACAAAGTATTTGGGCTCAACTTCTAGCTGTTTTAATTACCTTTTCAAAATAGCAAAAATTCTGTACAACCAGACGTAAGATATTAAAGTTATGTGAAAAAAACTATCGCTACCTCTGAAAAAAGCTTAAAAAAAAAATACCAGACTTCAAAAATTCTTCAAAAAAAAGTTCTGCCATAGAAAAAAAACCATAATTCTTTAAAAAATTTTAAAGCCCCATATCTATCAGAAAAAGTCGGTTTGGATCCTTGAGGAAAAAAAAAGTTCGGTTTTGTCGAGTAGTGTAATTGGATTGAAGATGAATGGTAGACAGCAGACTGAAGACAGAATCAAGATGGAATGGGAGGAGCCATAAAAGTTATGGCCACATAGGATTAATAGAGGGAAACGAGTGTGTCCGCTCGAATGGGAAGCAGGAGGCTAAAACGAGGGGAGACCTCTTGAATACTACTGGGAGGAAAAAGTGTGACATTTTTTTAATATTTTTGGTAGATTATGAGCGGAGTGTCCTCTGAATGAATGTGTGCGAAATCTGTTCAACAGATCCATCACAGTCTTTGCCTACAATCTCTGAAATACTTTACCTATTTTAAGTTAACTTAAGAGAGAGATTTACTTAGGGAATAATCTCAGGGCATGATCTACTAAGTAGACAACTAACTAACAGACAGCTCCACAATTTTCCTTCAACCTTACTCCACAATCACTCGCATTCCTGATCATTGTCACAAAAAGATCTTCGTAAAGAAAGATGTGCTTAGAACACGTTTATTAGTCGCAAATATCTGCCTTAATTTTTAGAGCATAAATAAAAGTATTATCGTTCAATGGATACTCAAATTAATATCCTAAAAGTTCCCAGAGAAATGTCAAACAGACTACAGATTCATCGTCATATTCTCAGCCATTCCTTAAAGCTATATCTGTGACCAGGCACAAACAGGTATATTTTCCAGTCAAAAGCGGTTTTCCTGCAATTGCAACACAACTTTGAACTTTGAACAAACTTATGGATCGAAAATTTCGTTGTCGTTTTCCAACAAACTAAACTTTCTCTCTGCCCTAATTGCATCTTGAAGTCGTCGGAGTCTCCTAGTCGTCTGCTAAGCCTTTTGTCAGTGTTTGTGCCCCCTTGAAGAGGCAGGGGTAAATGGACAGAAAAGGACATGCCAGGAATTGCACACACATACACAGACTGGTAGATGTAGCATTCATTTGGTTTTTGTATGGCAGCATCCTACTCGTACAATATATTACATTACATTACCTTCGAAAGAGGTGGAGGGAGAGTAGGCTGCCCCCTCCACATTTAAGTTGTGGAATTGAACTAGAAAATAACGAGAGAGAGGGATAGAGAGTGGAAGAGAGCGGAAGAGACACAGATGTTTACAATGTCCTCTTTTTCCGGTTTTTTTTTTCATTCGCATTCATTGGGGGTAAAAATCATACAAAAAAAAAAAAAGAAAATAAAGAGGAATAAGAACATGAGCTCTTTTCCGAATGATGGGTGGATCCTACATGCATGGTGTACAAGCTTATATGTATATCATTTGGCATTTATTTATTAACATAAAAACCCAGTGAACCATGGTCATGCCCCCACCACCATCCCACATATGTATGCTTGCTCTTCTCTGCCCCGCCCACCCTGTGCCACATTCCTTGTCTTCTCTTCCCTTCACTCATTTCATTTATATTTGTTTTTTGTTTTGTTTTTTACTTTCGTTTTGAAATGCGGCTTAAAAGAGCCATCAAACAATAGTGTTACGGGGGTTATACATATGTACATATATGTATGTGGTATCTGTGGTATATATTATATAGGGTATTACCTATATATTCGCTTGATTACTTAAGCCTCTCCCTGTCCCTGTGAGTGGATGGAGAGGGGGGAGACCTCTTTTCAATTACCCAAAAAACAGAAACCGAAACAGAGACAGCGACAGCGACAGAGCTTTGTCTTTTGTCTCATTTTGTATGCAAAAATAAAATGAAATTTGTTGTGTAGTCGCTTCCGAAATATTGAAATGTGAGATGTGGGAGTGGTCCGACGGGTCGGTCGTGCCTCTCTTTCTTTAAAAGCTTTAAACACGCGATGGGGGGGAAGGGATCCCGCTCTCCTCTGCTGCTGCTTCTGTTAACACTCGAACTTTTGTATTCACTTTGATTGACTCGCTGCAACGGATTATGAATACAGAATGAATACCAGATGATGATGAGGTTTTATGGATGCGTTGTTGATGGGCCAATGCCAATAAACAAACAACTTTTGCGGGTGGAGTGCCAAACGGCGGCAGTGGCACGGGGCAAGTTGGCAATGGGGCAAGGGGGCATGGGTGGGGAGCAGTGGATAATCGCATTGGCGAATGGACATGCATTTAATTTTCAATTTTGAACGCTTTTCGCGTAAATTATGTGTGAAATGATTTCTCTTTTAGTTATGCAACGAAATTCGTGAATGGGGAATTAAGGGAATTATTTTTGAAAGGGAATTAACACCAGGCGAAAGATTTTGCAGCCAGAGATTGGGAGTAGAAAGAGAGATTTATACTAACCAAGAAAGAGATATACATTTCATTCCATGTATTAGAATTTCGTCAACTTTCTTCAACAGAAACGTGTAGTAATTGGGAGACTCCACACTGTTTCATCTTTATAGTTTCTCTGGCCCAATCTTTGGTCAATTTCTTATCATTTCATCGCCCCTCCCCCCTAAGCTCTCCCTCTACAGTTTCGATGTTGATCCATTGCACAAGAACAATGACAACAAAAGACTGTCATGGGGGGAATGGTGTGGCGTGGTAACTGGACACCAATCGGCATTGCCAGCTCTCGGGATTGTGTTCCACATGCAACAAAAAATAAACTAAAACTGAAAACTGTAAGCCAGAAAAAATATGTTGACATCCAATGAATGTCCAAACTGTTTTCATTCCCCCACAAGAGGAGTAACTGGGATGTGGTGGGTAAGGGGGTAAGGGGGGCGGTGATTCGGATTGGCGTTGGGCGTCTGGGTTTCTGTTTGGACGGATAGATGGATGTTGTTGATGGTGTGGTCGGTTTGCAACAGCAGCAACCGCACCGCATGATGTAGTCGTCCACCGCTTGATGGGGAGGCAGGAATCCAGGTCTCCCTCCTTCAAACATCAACATCAATTTGCGTTGGGAAATCATTAACAGGCCAGGAAGCGGTAGATGGAATGTGGCTGATTGTGAATATATTGGACTATGGGATACCCTAGAAAGGAAATACCCGATTGGAAGGGGATTAGAGTTCTTCTTGGAAGAAGATTTCTGTCTGACTGGGAATGTCCGCTACAACAAGAATTTCGTCTTGAAAATCTATCTGCCTCTGTATTAGTTTTGCCCAAGTATCCTCCTATTGGAATGTTTATTCTGTTCGGTTCGAAAGGCTTTTTTGTGTGTGATATTTCCACCTATTTTGCACAGTGTACATAGCAGTGCGGAGAAGCAGGAGAGAAAAGAATATGACAAACAAAACTGTTGTTGTTTCTCTGTTCCACATGTTTTTCTTTCTGTTGCTCCTCCTGCTCTTCCGTTTCTCGTGTTCTTTTTGTTGCTGTGTCCATTGTTTGTGTATTGTTTACAAATAAATTAAACTTCTTTGATAATAAAAAAAATAAGAGCAAAAGCTCCACATAATAATAAAAAAAAAGGAGCAGCAAAAACAATTGCATCATACGCACACACACACACACACATGGATTGCCATGCTGTCGCCTCTGCTGTGTGTGTTGCACCACGATGCCCCGCGTTGTTGCTGGTTGATCTATTGGGAACGTGCTGAGACATCCGCTGCTGTTGCTGATGCTGTTGTTGTTGCTTTTGCTGCTGCTGCTGATGTCCGCCAATGTCGCCGGCGGGCGCTTAAGCATTGTTATGTCATCATTACCAGAGTTGCCACCAACAGTAGCAGCAGCAGTACCAGCACAAATGTGTGCCAGAAGCAGCAGCGGCAACAACAAGAACAACAGTGTGTGACCGGACCAAATGTGCAACGGCAATGCGGCGGACGCTGCACTCTGCGGTGGCTATTGCTTTTGGCTTTGTACTTATTTATGCCCACAAAACCCCACCCCACTCCACTTGCCATTCCGTTCTCATACTATTCCCCCCACCATCTATGGTACCCCACCTTCTCTCTCTCTCTCGACAGCACACACATACACGTATTGAGCGAACGATAAAGCAAAGCTTACGGCAGCAACAATGCATTGGTGCTCTCCTTGTTGCTCTTCTTGTAGCTGCTGTACTTTTGCTACACTGCAATGGTATAGGGTATTATGGTTCTATATAGATGTTTGCTACAAAGCCATCAATTATATATTCGCGATTAGCAACAAAATCCAAATCGTATAACCATAAAATAAACCTGCCATAGAAATCAACTCTCTTCAAGGGTATCAAAGCATCGACTTTCCGAGTCTCATTTCTTGTTTCTGCTTCTGCTACTAGACCTCCATGCATCGTTGGTCTCTCTTTTGCTCCTCCCTCTTCCTCTGCTGTTGCTGCCGCTGCTGCTGCTGGTTTGCTGCTGCTGCTGCTCACACGGTTTGGTCACATTAAACGGCCTTGTACTACAATCCACTATCTATCTCTGGTCACCTTTTGTGGTGCCATATGCGTGCGCGTATGCGAGTGTGTGTGTCTCAATGTAATGCCTACATTCCAATGCAATTTCAGCTTATTGTCGCGTCCCTCCCGTCTCTACCCAGCCTTTCGCCGGTACACGTCTGTGACTCCCCCCTTCTTTGCTACCCTCCCTCCCCCCCTACTACTTATCAACAGCACTTGACGGCGCTAGAGGGGCGCCAGCTGTGGCGGCGATTAGAAGACAGAGAGAGAGAACTTTGGTAAAATGGCCATAATAAATATTATATAAAGCCAATCGACTTGCATGCAATTACGTTTACAGTATGGCCTAACGGCGGGGGCAGGTATAGGGAATGGGGGGGTGTAGCACTCTATAAAAGTTTATCAACCTCTCTGCCATGGCTGTGTGTGTGGTGGCTATCGCTCTGTTCAGTTATCAGTTCCGTTGATTTGTTTGTCTCTCCAGAAATCGATCGATCGATCGATTAGACCACTGATGGGTTAAAGTACTCTCTGCATTCGCGCGCAGTGTGCTGGCCCTCGAAAAGAACAAAAAAGCATTGGGTCCGGGTCTCGTGGCATGAGTGGATGAATGAATGAATGGCTGTGCCCTGCCCTGCCCTACTCTGCCCTGCATGTTCGTGCATGTCGATGCATGGATGGTTGTGTGTGTGTGTGTGTGCAATGCTTGTTTTTGTCCATTATGATTACTTTTGTATAACACATGCGAAATACTGCCTGCCCTTTGCTGCGGCTGCCACTCTGCTGCTGACAATAACAATAATTAAATTGATGTATTAGTCTGTGGGGGGAATACTGTACGTACGTATGGCACGCATAAAATATCACAGCTTTTGTGCTTGTACTTTTCTCTCTATTCAATTCTTTTTATCCTTTTTTTTTCTCTCATCAATTTCGATTAAGATAACAGTCAAGTAAGTAAACAGTAAACACAGTGTGTGCTAAAAGTTTATGAATTATGGTTCAATCTGTGTGTGTGTGTGGGCTAAATGATTGCAACATACTTTTGGGATTTAGTTGTAATTGAAGGGGAACTTAATGAGTATTGGGGATTGGAAGTACTCCTGGAACAAACTTAAGTAAAATCACGAACTTGGGGAAGTTCTTCATCTCTCTTTTGTTATTTCTTTTAAGCGTACTCTCCTTAAAGCTCGCTCTCTAAGCTTTGATTCGATTCTTTAAGCTTCTCTCTTGGTATGTGCCTTCTCTCTGTGCTGATGTTTTGATCTGCTCACAAAATGCAGGCTGCTATTCTTATCTCTTCAGATCGTAACTAATTTACAACCGTAAACCAAACCTCAAAACTATTCTGTGGCTTTATTTTTTTATTTTTTATAAATTCCACTTAGCCACAGAGAAATCTCTGGCATTTTTGACCGTTATTCGCCAGCGGGTGAATGAAATTCAAAATCAAGCCACACAAAAATTGTGGCTGTTGCTGTTTTAATTGATAAAAAAAAAAATCTCCTCCGCTGTGGCAGCTGCTGCTGCTGGGGCGGGGTGGGGGAGAGGTCAGAGGTTTTCACACGAATAAAACAGAAATCAGAGACTAGGCAACAGAGACCAGATGGATGGGCTCAAGCCCTGGAGCAGCGGACGGCAGGCCCCCACTCCCGTGACGCTGAAATCCGAGTGCATCTCCAGCTGCATAGTAAATTTGCAGCGCATTCGCTGATGGCCCGCGGGCCAGTATTCCGAACCAACTTTATCTGTGTGGCATGCCACAACACGGGCAACAGTAACAGCCCACATCCAACCCTACTCTATCATTTTCTCTCTCTTTTCTTTTCGGACGACAGGCATATACCCAAGGCCAAGGCAACGGCAATCGCTGATACGCCCGAACTGAAGCGCATTGCGGAGAACACGAAGATCCAATCGAATGTGAAATACCATGCGGACTTTGAGAAGGCCAAAGGCAAATTTACACAGGTACTCCCCCACATTCAGAGTATGAGAGGTTTTAACTGTACTAATTGCTGTCCGCCTCCCCCCACCCCATTCTCATTTCCATTCCCATGATCCTCTGACAGGTGGCCGATGACCCGGAAACGCTGAGAATCAAACAGAACACGAAGCACATATCGAATGTGGCATATCATGGGGATCTGGAGAAGAAGGCAGCAATGGAGAAGCAACGCGGCTCCGCTGAGGTCTCCGATAGCAGCAGTAAGTACCGTTTCATTATTTTCTCTCTTCCCTCCTTCCATCATCTATCTATCTATATATCTCTCCTTCACACTCCCAATCATCCAGTATCTGTATCTATGTATGTATATACTAAATGCTTTATTCTTTGTGCCTGCTCGCTCATTCGTGTGCAATAATTGTTTGTTAGCTTAAGCTTTTCTCTTGGAATTAATTTATGTTTGCAATTCAATTGATTTAATGTGTTTATAATTGTCAATTGACGTCATCTGCATGAAATAGCAATCGCAAGTTTGCAACGAGGCTTAATTTAATGGTTAAATAGAAATATAATAAAGTGTTACAGTGGTTAAATAAAGTGTCACAAGTGAAATCGATTTTTTGAATAAATGTGCATCAAATTATGAAAATCGAAAGAAAAGTGCATTGACAGATATGTGAAATTTATGATTTGTGAGACTTATCCTATTCTAGTGCTACAAAAAAAAAGAAAAACTTATTTAAGTGTTTGAAAAAAATGCGATTTTATCCACCGAAAAACTATTCGTTTATTATATTTTATGGGCTTTCCCCTTAAAACGACTTATTTCATTATTTTCCAACACTTTTTTCATCCACTTTTCAACTCTATACTTGCGTTTCTCATTTGCTCACTTTCTAACACTTTTCTTTATGTGTTTCCTTATTCATCAGCATTGCACCACTGTGCAACACCACTCATAAATACATAGTAATCTATTTGTATGTGTGGTGCATTTTTCAACAATGCAATGTATCTACCATTTCCATCACATTTCCATATCTCTCTCTCTCGCGTCACAACTGTCACACATTGTCATTAATATTGATAATAATTATGTTTTCTTTGTATTTTTTTTGTTTTGTTTTTCTACACTTTTTTTTTGTTATGGATTTTATTACATATCATTTGTTGCCCCTCCCACATCAACATCAACAACAACAACAACAATCATCGAACAACTACCGACAATTGTCGCATAATTTGTGTGCTTTTCTGAACTACCGTTAACCTAACGACAACACACAAACACACACGCTACACAACACTATACTGCATTATACAACACTAACAAAAAATTGTGGAACTCTGGGGAACGTACACAAAAATCAACTAAAATCAAAACCGAAATAGATGAATCGGAATATTTCTCTGAGCAATTGGCAGCTGAACAATTCTCGCAATATGCACCCACAGCCACATCACCCATACCGTCAGCAGTATCAGCACAAGTGCAACACCACCAGCAACAGTTTCAGCAGCAGCAGCAGCAGCAACAACATCAATACCAGCAGCTGCAACACCAGCAACAGCTGCTACACCAACAGCAGCAACAACAACAGCAACACTTTTTGCAGCAGCAACAGACACTGCCACCGCCACCCGTACAACATCAGCAATATAATACAGCGGCCATAACGCCCACATACCAACAGTTACAACAACAGCAACACCAACAACAATTGCAACAACAGCAACAACACTTGCAACAACACCAACAACTACAACAAGGCAACAATCAGAGGCAGCAACAGGCACAGGCGCAACAACAACACGATCCCTATGCACACTACCAGCAGCCACAGGCACTGCGCCAACAGCAACACCAGCAACAGTTGCAACTGCAACAGCAAGCCATTAAACAATCGTCACATCTGTATCCCACAGCACAATCGCAGCAGCAGCAACAGCAGCAGCAGCCACAGATACCCCAACAGCAACAACAGCCACAACAGCAGCAGCAGCAGCCGCAGCAGGTGAATCCCTACAATGAGATGCGCTCGGCCATACTCCAGAATTCGCATCATCCCAGTGGCAATGCTGTCGATCAGGTGGCACAAGTGCATCCTCAGGTGCAACAGCAGCAGCAGCAGCACAATCCCACTCCAGTGGCAGCAGTGGCTTCTGTGTCACATCATAGCCTCCTGAATAATAATCCCAGCAATGGCAGTGTCAACAGCTATCACAGCGTCAACAGCAACAACAACGGGTCCCAACAGATGCTGCCTCCGCAGATGCGTCGATCGGTGGCCAGCGCCAGTGTCTACGATGGCAGCACCAATAGCAACAACAGCGACGGTAGCCAGCAGCAGCTGCAGCAGATACGGAGCAAGCACAGCGGCACAGCAATAGGATCAGCTGGAGGATCCGGATCAGCCATACAACAGCTGTATGCCTCGCCCAATTATCAATCGGTGACGCCCTCGGAGAATGCCCTCAATGTGGCTAATGGACATGTATCCAGCCATCAGCAAAAGATGATGCCTGGAGGCAGCAGCAACATTGGCAAGATTGCCGACTACGATCCCTTGACCGATGGCCCACGTGTGGTGCAGGGCTCTGGAAGATCCTCTACCACGCTGGTCTATAGCTCCGATCCGCAGCAGCAGCAGCAGCGAGGCGGTAAGTAGGCGGCTGGGGGCAGCGGAAGGCTTGCTGGTAGTTCAATAGTCCGCTTGATGTGTGAACCCATCATCTCAGTCATTTGTGTCCTTGTCCCAGACCGAATCCTTTCAAAGAACATTCTTCAATCCATTATTTTGTATCCGTATCTGTAGGCAACAGTGTGTATCCCAAGCGGATTGGCTCTGTGACGGACATCGATCCTGCAAATGGGATCTATGGCTCGCTGAGTGGCGCCGAGCAGGCCCATGCCCAGAAGCATCAGCAGTACTACGCTCAGGTGCAGAAGATGCAGCAACAGGAGCAGCAGTTGCAGCTGCAACAGCAACAAATACAGCAGCAGCAGATGCGGCAGCAGCCCTCGTACGATTCCTCGCTGCAGGCGAATCAATCGCGTCAGAGCACAGCAACAAATTCTGTAAGTAGAAGAGAGAACTAAGATAGATTTGATCTAAAACTTTTTCCTTGCAGCGCCTCTATAAGGCCATCTATGACTATGAGGCGCAGGACGTCGATGAGGTGAGCTTCCGCGAGGGCGACATCATCTATGAGGTGGAGTCCATCGATTCTGGTTGGATGACGGGTCGCGTGGAGCGGACGGGAAAGACCGGCATGCTGCCCGCCAACTATGTGGAGCATGCGGTTATATAATAGGGAATGTTCTACTACTGCTGCTGCCGCCAGCAGTTTGTGGTGATCCTCGTCTGCCTGCTCTACATCCTCCTTGTGCTCGTGTTCTTTGTGAATGTGTTTCTCGCCGATCGGAATATGCACACGCATCTCATGATGAAGAATGCTGGACACCACGGACACGGAGGGCACGGTGGAGGAGGAGGAGCGGGTGCAGGTCCGCCTGTGGGAGGACACCACAATCCCTACGACATGCATGGCTATCCCCACTACAACAACTACCATCCGCAAATGGATCCAAAGCAGCAGCAGCAGCAGGAGCTGCTACGCAAGACACCGCCCAATCCGAACCAGCAGCAGCCCGAGCAGGACATTTACTCGTATTTCAATCACGTATTCAGGCGGCGACGTCGATGAGGAGGAGGATAAGTAGGACAGGAGTTGGATGGACGATGAATCTATCCAAAATTTGTACCACATTAAATTATTATTATTTCCATAAAATATGAATATATATATAAATATATTTATATATATATGAGTATATATAGCCAAAAGCAGATTGTGTAAAAAGTGAAGGGGAAAAAATGATGAGAAAACCATTAGAAAACAAGAGACAGAGACATGCAATAATAAAACCAAGCCAGAGCTATGTTTCAGCTATGAATCGAGGGCGAGGGTGGATATATACCTAGATATATCCAACACTTTTGTGCCGATTCCGAAATGATACGAAATTTTTCTAGCGAGCGACCAAGCCACGAGCCAACAGTTTGCATTTATCTACAGCGAATGAATCCCTTAAACGGAATCAGAAATCTATTAGATACAACAGATATTTATTGAACGATATATACAGCTGATTAATCCGATAATTAGATATGCTATATAGAGCTAACCCCCAATCAACATATAAAACCGATATCATCAGATATATCTACTATATAGATAGCTAAAATAATGCTTCGATAAAGAAAAAAAAAAAAAAACTAAAAATTTCTTCTAATTTAATTAGAAATTCTCTCAAAAAATAATGTTTTTCTAGGGCTTTTTAAAAGCTTTGCTATTTGCTATATAGCTTGATCGTTCAGATTGCGCATATCGTTATCCCTACAATTTTTGTCAATTTATCCAAAAGAAAAAGAGAAAGAAAAGCAAAGGATAAATTTGTTCTTGTTTTTCTTGTGTGTTTTTTTAAGTAATGGGGGGATAAATGCATGTTTTGTTGAGTATATAAATATTGTTTATGTTTCTATATACTACACATTATATATATATTATAGGGTATATACAATATATGTATATTCCGATCTACGACTATATGTTGTATTCTAGTGTTAAAAAGTGTTGCGTTTCACATGAGAAGATATTTGAGAAAGTGCCTTTAATTTGCTAAAAAAACTGTTTTTTAGATACAAACCAATTTACTAATAAATCAATTAAATATACATACATATACCATATACTATAGCTTATACAGACCATAAATCTATATGCTATATAGCATCGATAATACGAATTTCAATAACGAAACGAAACAATTCTTTATACGAAATACAACAACTTTATCCATGTGATTTGAGTAGAGGAGCAATTGCAGTCACGCTATTTATACGGCAGATATTTGTATTATTAACAAACAAAAAACTCACAAACAACACACACACACACACATGAGAATAGTAAGCTATAGACAGCAACAACAAAAACTAAAAACAATTTCATACATACTATATGCATTAATGAATGCTTCGAGAGGGAAAGGGAGGAGACGACGAAGTATCGCCTAACAATTAAATGAATTATTCTAATCGCAAAATGGAAATGGAAAGCGGAAAGCAGAATGCAGAAGCAGCGCCAAAGGCTTCCTTTTTGTGAATGTGTTACAAATCAATAAAAAATCTACAAAAATAATTGAATATTTTGTGTTATTAATAGAGACAATTAATAATTTAAAACTATGCCGCAGGAAAATGTGTACAAAAAATTGGGATGTGCCCCAAGGGACAACCAAGACGAATCAAGCGAGTAATGTAACCCCCACAGTGAAGGATAATTGACAATGAGGAAAATTACAGCAATCGCATGTTTGGGTTTTTCCCCTATTTTAAATGAATAATTGTGTAATTGTTGTGTGTGTTTTCCCATAAACAGAACTAAAGATGTAAACAATAAAACTCAAGGAATCTTTTCTGGAGGAGGGCCTCCGCCTTCAGATGCTTTCGCTGGTGGGGGGCTCAGGCAAGCCAGCCAGCCGTTTCTGGGGTGCTGCTGCCACATCACCACCAGAGATGGTACCCTCATGGGCGCCTACAATGGTCTCCAGAATGATGGTCTTGGAGTTCTGCATGGTTTCCTCAAAGAATTTGGCATCTGCGATCTTCTCCTCGGTGACATAATCGAGTTTCTCCGTCAGCATGGTGATCTTCTCTTGCGCGAGCTCCAATCTACAAGAAAATGAAGCAATGATTGGAAAATAAATGATATGATATACGGATACACCTACTGATTCTTTAGATCCTCTATTTTAGGTTCCGTGGAGACGTTGCTGTTCAAGGTGCCGGCAGATTGATAGTGGGATTGGTTATCGAAACAGAACGATCCAATGGATCCGTTAAGAGAAGTGCGACTCAGCGAACTCGCATAGTCGGCTATTCGCTGTGTGCGCTTCTTCTTATCAGACTGGATGTCCAGCTCCTTTTCCATTTCCCGGATCTTGGCCTCCATGCGACTGATGCGCGCCTTTAACTTGGCATTCAGCTCCTGGATGCTCTCGTTCTTGGTCCGCTCCACCGACAGACGCTCGTTGAGGCTCTTGGTGAGGAGCATAAGCTGATTCTTCTCCACCTCCAGGGCATCCAGAATGCCCACGAATTCTTCCTGCCATCAAAGAAAGAGAGATCTTAGACGGGACTAGGACAGGGAGTGAGAGCCCAGTGGATTACCTTGCGAAACTCGCGACAGGAGAAGAGGAATCCCCCGGAGAGCGCGCGCAAATCCATTTCCAGCTTCTTCGTCATTTCCTGGAGACTCGTGATGGATACCTCCTTCTGTTTAAGAATCGTCTCCAGCTCCAGATACATGCCACTCAGCTCCTCCAGCTGTCGTCTGGCACCGTCCCTCTCCTCCGTCAGACGTGTCAGATCCGCGCGCATGTCTTCCAGACGCTGCTCGTACTGGTAGCGCTGGCGATCGAGCCGCTCGCCCATGGTGCTGATGTTGATGCCATTGTAGTCGGTCTGCTCCTCCAGTTCTGAGGAGCGCATCTTGTACTTGGCCACCTCCTCGTTCAGCGTCTTGTTGCGCACCTTGAGGGCCAGCGTCCGGTTGCGCTGCTCCTCCAGCTGCGACTGCACGTCCATGATGTGCTTCTCCAATGCCTCCACCTTGGCCTGGTGCAGGATCTCGCTTTTGCGTACGCCAGGCGTGAAGCGGTCAAAGGTAGCGCCGCCCCCTAGACAGTCTGCAGTGGCAAGTGGCTGGCCGTTGGCCAGGCGTGGCGTGCGCGAGTAGCCAGAGCCAGAGACACTATCCAGATCGGAGCCCAAAGGTATGGGCGCATACTCGGAACGATCGGACATTCGTTCCTCGTAGTACTCCACGCGGGCCCGCAGCTCCTGCACCTTCTGCTGCAGATTGAGGATCTGCTGTGCCCGTCCGCGCCAATTGGCCTGATTGAGATTGTTGGCCAGAATGTTGATGTTGCAGCTCTCGCCGATCTCGTGCTGTAGGCACTTTTGGGCGAGTTTCAATTGGTTCTGCAGCTCCGTGCTCCTGTTGCGCGACTCGAAGAGCTTCTGCTGAATGGCAGTCAGCTTCGCTTGGAGCTCCTCCGCCGAGTTGCCCCGCTTGAGCAACTCCTGGTGCTGATGGATCTTCTCCTCGTTGGCTTTGAGCTCACGCTCCATCTTAACGATCAGCTGATCCTTCTTCTCCAGCCGATTCTTAGCCTGCTCCAACTCTGCGCGCATCTGCCGGTTCTTTTTGCTCAGCTCGAGGATCTTGGTGCCGGCTATCGAGGAGTTGCAGCGCAATTCGTCAATGGGCACCGAATTGAGGACATCGTTGAGCGAGTCCACGGATCTCTTCAGTGCCGTAATCTCCTTGTTCTTGTCGCTGATGGCCTTGGTCAGCGACTGATTCTCGTTCTCGAACATCTCCAGTTTTTTCTTCAGTTTCTTAGATCCTTCCGCCTTGGTCGCCTTGGGCTTCACGGCCGTTGTGGCAACCACCACTGCGCAGTCAGCTGGGCCGCGGCGACGCGGCTTGCCGACCGGCTCCTGGGCCACCGTATCGGGCAGCGTATCCATGGCGCAAAACGTATTATACAAAAAAAAAATATAAGATAAGCTTCGTTTGGCAAACGCTTCAATAATTTGTGTGAATTATGTGTCGTGTGTCTCGGGACTTGTTCCGAATATTCTCAATTTTGTTGTTAAAAGCGACGACGAGTCGTTTCCTATATTCACAAATTTCTTTCTGTTCTCTTTAAAATAACGTTTACAGAACTTTCATGGCAAACCAAATTTCAAATTTAAACAGTCGCCGCTAGTTCGCAATGGTTTGCACGGAACCAGTTCACTGAACCGACTACAGCTTCCCGCACTACTTAAATCGGATTATCGCACACAAGTATCGATATTATTTTGAAACTATCGGGAGTCTATGTACATATATATAATCGAACAACGTGAAACAACACATACAATTTTCAATGCTAAAAACCAGAAAGCTAGTTCCGTTGCTGATATTTTATGGGATAAATCCGCTGTCCAAATAAATTTCGCGAACAAAAATAGTATCAGCAAAAAGTATACATATCGATATATTGATATGATATATTTGTAGCATCCCTAATTGTGACGTGTAAAACACGAAAACACGCAAAAATGGACGGATTTATGATGGTAAATGTTGAAATATAACATGTAATTAACTCTTGGTAACAATGCCCGTGTGCTGCAGGACATTATCAAGGGCATGTGCATCATGGACAATGACGGCAACCGCATTCTGGCCAAATACTACGACAAAAACATTCTGTCCACGTTGAAGGAGCAGAAGGCTTTCGAAAAGAATCTTTTCAACAAGACGCACCGCTCCAACACAGAGATCATCATGCTGGACGGACTCACCTGTGTCTACAAGAGCAACGTGGATCTGTTCTTCTATGTGATGGGCAGCGCCTACGAGAATGAGCTCATCCTGCTGTCGGTGCTCAATTGTTTGTATGACTCCATCAGCCTCATTCTGAAGAAGAATGTGGAGAAGCGCCTGGTGCTGGAGAATCTGGAGATTATAATGCTGGCCTTTGATGAGATCTGTGATGGGGGGTAAGTATAGATAGTACAGTACTCCGCTGCGACCTTTGACCTAATGGTGGGTGTCGTATGTTTCAGCATTATTCTGGATGCGGATCCCTCGTCGGTGGTGAAACGCGTCGATCTGCGCAACGATGATATTCCCATTGCCGAACAGACCGTTGCTCAGGTAACTAGCACACTAAATGGTCTCTTTTGGTAGCGCCCCCAGACCCCACACCCCTGTCTATCTCTTAGTATCTCTATTAATTAGTTATTAGGCCCGAACAATCGTAAACGTTAATATGCTCGCTATTTATAAGTAGTACGACTACAACTCTACTAGATTTACTTTCTTTATGTTTCACTTTCGTTCGTTGCAATTCCTCCCCAAAAGCCCCTAGAAATTTCCACCATTGCGTTTGTACTTATGATCAAAATAAATATTGTTTTAAATGTCTTAAACTATTGCTCAACTGCTCTGTGAAGTGAATTTTTGATTTCATTAGCTAATTGATCGACCAACCTATGTTTTGTATCTCTGTATCTGCTGCCATTCTATATGTGTATGTGCTATCTTTCAGGTACTGCAATCGGCGCGCGAACAACTCAAATGGTCCATTCTGAAGTAAAGGGGCGCTGCGGGCGGCGGAGGCGTCAACTTCCGCATCGTGTCTGTCGCAATACATTCGATACTTTCTTTCCCCACTCCCCTCCAATTGTTTCCGCCTAGATGTAAACACACACATACTATAATACAGATTTATATATATATATTTAACTAGAGATCCGTTTGCATGTTTTTAATGGGAATTAATCTAATCATAGTGTTAAAGGACTCGGACCTACAGGCTGCGGGCTGCGTAGTTATTAACTAACAAATCGCTGTATCATACTAGACCATTAAAAGTAGTACTAACCATTGAGCTATCAATGTAGCCGACATTGTAAATCACTTGTATTAGAAGAGGCTTTGCCGGTAATCATGCGCTCATGTAAGGGGAACCCCTCCATCATTTACTTAACAATATATGTATATTCGGGTGTTCTCTGGCATGCTCTTGCCTCGCACCCTTCCTATTAATCAGGCATATGTATGTTGTAGACCTCTGATTAAATGCTTATCTTAGGGCGCATTCGTTCTTGGCTTTCGCATGCAGTCAAACAATGACAGAACCAGAACTGACCCAGTCCCATGATGTCAGCCAGCCAGCCAGCCAGCATTATCTCTGAATGCAAATTGTGTAGTGTGTAATGCTGTAATGCCATGCCAATACCATTGGCAATCACATTTATAATGCTCGTAAGCCCAGAAGTGCGTCATAAACACGTGACCAGACGATGCCGCCATATAACAATAAGTAATCCCGTGGGTTCTATACAGCCCTCGACCATCTTTACGATAATTGTGTGTTGAGTTGTGTGTGTTGTTTGAGGTGATTATAAAGCGATTAAGTATTGATTATCTCGACATCTTTATAATGGCGCATATAAACCCAAGAAAATTCTATTTCCAGTTGCAAACTCTTTTTCACCCATTTTGTTTTTGCCCAGCTAGGGATCTTGAGTCCAACAATTATTTATAGCAATTGCTTAGGCTTAGCTCTAGTAGCTGGGATTATGGCAGTCACTTACGAAACGTTTGCTTTTACGTCTCAGCGATCGAAGTAATCGGAGAAATGTGTTGAGTTCGGGGACGTACCTCAATGGCGGAGGAGCAGCAGCCATTGCATCATCATACGTTCCAAACTTCATTTCGCAACTCCTCAAAATATATTTGATATCTGTGATTAAGTTGTTTTTGTTTTCAGCCTGGCAGAGCGTGGCTATCATTCAACTTCAACCCAGGGCTCATCTATCATTCGCACGGCGGTACCACCCATGAACCACAGACGTGCTCCACCTTTTCCCTGGCCCCACCACCCATGCATTTACCCCCACTCTTTAATCAACTGCTTGTCAACATTTTAGGAGTGCAAAAAATAAAACCAGGAATAAAAGGGTACTGAATTCCGGGTAGTGAACCGAAGCAATTGATACCCTTGTAAAGCGATCCTACGATTATGCAAAAATCCCAACGAACTGCAGTTATTTTTGGCTGATAAATAACTCTTTTGTAACTCTTTCGTTTGGTGTGGATTATCTGTACAAAGGAAAGAAATTTTCCCAAACACATGATTAATCCGATAGTGTCCAAAACATTTGGAGAGTATGGAAACCAAACACAATATTAAGCTCCCACCCACTTGGGAGTTCGTTCAGGTTTATCTGCTCGTATTTTGTTGTTGAATTAGACAAACAACAGCGATGTGAAGAGCAGGAGCTGAGCTATATATCTATCAGGTGTGTATTTACCTGTGTGTGTGTGTGTGTGTTGTGCTGATATCAGGGCCACCAGCCATACGTGATGGATGTATTGCCCAGATCACGTTTCTAGCAAACACCCAAAAAGGTCTGCTGCTGACGTGTCTGTTGGAATGAGTTCATCTTTAAAGTGAAACGCCTACCCGAACAGGGGAGGGGCCCGTCATCATACTGCTCCATTCTTAAGAATCCTAAAGTACAGTCGCCCACTCCTACTAATTTATACCCGATATCGGGTTCTCAGGTATGCGCCAAGTATTGTATTATCAACAGCAGATTACTTGGAAAGAAACGTTCCACATGATTAGCGCAGCGCCACCGATCGATCCGATCGATCCGAACGATCCGTTCAAGCGTTCCACATGCGTTCCAATCGAATCACTATTTATGATCCCCCTTCGAAATCAGATTTATATAACGCAAAGAAATGGCCATGTGTTGGGGGAGGACTCTATTTGGCATTCAGTTGTCGTTGCCGCCTCGAACGATACGATAGATTTGTGTGTTGTGTTGTGTTGCTTTGTTGGTTTGCCTTGAAGATTGTCCGTTGAAGAGGAAGTCCAAATTTCGAGCCGGAAATCAACAGAACAGGCCACCGACCGACCGACCATCGACGACATCTGACATCTGATCTAGAATCATCCAATATAAATACCAGTATCAATATCAGAACAAAACAAATCGCGACTGATACTGGGAAATGAATGCACACTTGTTTTTCGGGTCTGTATACACCAATCGATTGGCATTAATTCTATGAATTTATTCTCACTCGTAAACTCGTAAACAAAATAGTTAACATTCCATTCCGAAAAATATGTCTACCTAAGTAATTCTTCAGTTGAAATTGGCTTGACAGTCTCTCGCTGCAAACTAATCGAATTATTGGCAAATGTATTGTGGTACAAAGTATCATGCTCTGTCTTCATTGTTGCCTGTTGCTTGGGTCGTGTATCCGTATATCCCGTGTATCGTGTGTTTATGTGGGGGGGCTCGATCCATAAAACCGCTTTACGACTCTCGATTTTGTAGGAAAATTTTGAGCTGACAATTTCGCTGACATGCGACAGTGCCATGCCCAAATATCACAGTGGGTGACTCCTCCAGAGTCTCCCTGCCAGACGGTTGTGCAAATACAAACAAATAAATCTATAAAATGGGTCTATAGAGGAGGAGGAGTTAATCGGAATCAGAATGAGAATCATAATCAGACTGAAAATCAGAGAAATCATACTCGTGCGACTGTCCGATAAGTGGGTGGCACGAACAGTTAACGACCTTGGGTAGGAACTTATGAAAAGCCGCCCCTTCAGGCACCCAGGAACCCCAGAGGGGGCATATCTGTGCAGTTCAATGTTTCAAGAACAAAGATGACAATCGCCTGGCAGCGAACTCCCTTGAACCAGTAGCCACAAGCCTTTCCTTTGGGCTTTGCGTGGCAACAAACCTCTGGCGATCCTCCTCTGGTTACCGAGTGCCCTGCTGATCTATCGACAAAACCCTTAAGCTGTAACACAATTTACGAGCCAGGCACCAGCCACAGGGAGTGGGTCAAATCCCCCAGTGGTTATGAGCCATCATCATCACATCAACAAAGCCCGATAAGAGTTCAAAAAGGCTTAAGTAGGGGCGCTGTTTTTTTTTTGGGCTGGATTTTAATTACATGTTCTCTCGAGTGTTTTGTTTGAAGTGATTGTGTGGGGATGGGATCCCTTACCACTTGTTGCGTGGTCGCAAAAAACAGTTGGTTGCAAAACAGTTGCCACAGCAGTATGCAAACATTGTGCTGCACTCACTCTGCTGCTCCAATCAACAGGCAGTACCCACAGACAATTTAACTGGCCTGATCCTTGACTTGTTTGTCGAGTGGAGTGGTGTGGCGTTTGGGTTGTCAAGCGGGCTGTCCAGGGAGGTGAGCGGACACTCTAGCGAAGGGTTAAATTCCATTTGGTGGGCAACAAAGTGCTCTGCTACAGTGGAACCAAATGCAAGTGCACTTGATGGTCATATGATGTACAATGCATTCCCTTCTCTGCACTCTGCTCTTTAAGAGCTTTCGTTCGTTTTCTCTCTCTCTCTTAGCTTAACTGTTTCTCTTTTTCGTTTGTGTTTTTGGACAGGGAGTGTGCGTGTCAGGGTTCTCATGGGGCGCTATCTTATCATTGATATTGTACATTCTTACTTTGAACACCCGTACAAGCAATTAACAAACGATTCGAGCTGCCATGAGCAGCGGCATCGGCATCGGCCCACCACCCACCACCCTCTCTCTCTCTCTCTCTTTATCTGCACCTCTGTTCCGAATTATCGCTCGTATCCGCTCTCGGCTGCGGGAACTGATATTTAAGAAATCGCTCCATTCGCTTCGACTTTCAGTGCTGTGTGAACCATAAAACGGTGTTAGACGTGTTCGGAACACCACAACAACAAAAAGGAAAAGGGAAAGAAAAGAAAAGAAGCGAACCCCACCACAGACAGAGAGATTTCCCGCAGAGTGACAAATGGATATTATTATTATTATTATTATTGAAGTGACAAGAACTCAAGTGCTCGATAAACAATATACTGGTAGATCCAAAGAACTGCAATCTAGAACCAAAGGAATTCAAACCGCTAATCGTATCGTGCGTGTGTGCTGAATCAACAAATAATCCAAGCCAATCCAATCAGAACATACACTCCAGACCGCTACCGTACCGCTCCACGGAAGCATAATCAATCGGAGCACAATTGATACAACACTCAGAAACATGAAATTAAGGTTAGTATTTGTTAGCTGTTCTGTTCTGTTCTGGGAATCGGATTCTTCCCCTAACCCTATCAGTGGTGACTTTCCGTCGTGCCGTTTGCTCAGCAAATCAAAGTTTTACCAAGCCCCAAAAGCTGGGGCTTCCAATCACCATGATTAGCTAAACAGAACACAGTTAACCAGTCCAGCCACTAAATGAGCTCTTGCCATACCATACGAAAAAATAAAGAGCTTTCTGATATCAGGAGTACGTGATTAATGATATCGTGTCGATGTCCATATTGGATATTCCACAGTCCCCCCCCAATCTATACTTGGATTAATCATACTCTGCTTTTAGGAAGTCCCCAATCAGTATGCCAGTCTGGCAGTCTGCCTGTTAGATAGCGGAAATTTACCCACTCGAGTGGGTGGTGTGGAGTGGAGTGCACCATCCATCAGCAGCGTTTGACCTTTTCAAAATCAATTTGCACATATGAATTTAATTCTATTAAAGTTATATAATCTTTATGATTTGATGGGTCTGCCAAGGTATAGAGTTATAGAGACTATAGTGGGTGTATGGGATGCAATGCCCATTTCTCTTTCATATCTTTTAGGTGATGCAATTCCTTCTTTGTTATTCTCATTACTCCATAGTTTCCCGTCCCCCAACCTAATTGCTTACACCTAGTCGTGTAATCTCTGAATAAATTATACCATTTTATGGCTATTTGCTTTGATTAGCAGCACACGTTACAACTTGACACCTGCCACAATGGGCCCTGTTTTTATTTTATTTGTTTTCCCTTCCTTCCCTGCCTGTTGCCAGGCAGGCGAATGGGGGTCAATGGACAACCGATTGAGCTTAATTCTTCTGGTCTTGGGTTTTCTGTAAACAGCCATAAATTCGCTATTGGCTACATTTATGGTGGCCCCAGGTAAAATCAATCAGGTATGAAATTACAGTGAGTACCGTAAAGATAGCAACACCCAGCCAGAAATTCCCTTTTTCCAATGAAAGTGCGTGAGAAATATGATTATGATTCATCACAAGGACCGAACCTTTTCGTGGATAGGTTATGGTTTATGCTCTATAAGATATACCATTTAAATGTAGGCGGGTTTCATCGTGCATCAGAGAGCGGTAGAAAGCGAGGGTGCATTCAATGCCATGCCGAATGGGTTGATACCACTTCGGTTCCACGTATCTCTGGAGTGGCGGTGGGCGCCTTGATAAGCCTCGAAATCCAGCCAGCGCCAGAGCCATTGGTCTTGAGTAAGTTTTGGCAATCGCCCAATTAGAATTGCCCCTCATAAACGTTTGCAAACGCCCAGCCCAGCCAACCCACAACATTTCCATCCCCCCCCTAACGAATCGATTCTCGATTGTGTGGCATGACCGATTTCCACCTGAGACTCAAATGGCGCTATATAAACCAGATACACTCTGCCGGTATAATTATGCCCCGGTGGTGCCAAAGTGCGTCTGGTTTTTGGGGCTTGCAGATCGTTGCCATTCCACTGACATTTAATGTCCCCAATTAAAACTAGATATGGGCCATGTTTTGTGGGGCAATCTATATGTCTGGAATGCGTTACTCGACTGTTGATATCTTCATTCATGTTGGAGTCCCAGTTACCCACGAGGGCTAGTATTATTTCATCATCTACTGTGATTTCTATAGGCAATCTTTAATATCCTTTTTGATACAATAATGCCTGAAATTGTTGGAAGCTTCCCACTGAACACGCCCACTTTGGTATCTGATCTGTAGCCTACTTCTAATTAAAGTTTGTACCTCGTATTGTATTGCCAATGCGTCAGATTTCGCTTTCAGACCGTCACCCACTGCGATTCGGGTCCATTGCGGTTTTATCTATTGCGTATTCTACGTTGGTTGTAGCAACAACCAATGTCTGTATCTGTATCTGTTGCTGTAGCTGTATCGGCCTCTGTGTGCTTTTAATTAAACATACATCAGGGCCAGCGAATCGTTAGAGCTGGAGGTAGTTGGAGGCCATACCATGGCATGGTCCCGGTCTCGGTCTCTGTGTGTGCCTCTTTCGGGGTGTATGCAAACATTTGCCATTCCTATATATAGATCTCTCCCGCCCTGTTTCTGCTTTTCCCGCTAGCTAGCACTGATCGTGTTGACCATGTCGCGTGTTTTCCTTAGAAGTCGCAAAACAAGTCGCTAAGTAAATTTGCTTTCTTTTTTTTTTCTGCAGACCTTTGCGATGGCTGCGCCAGCCGTCGGCTAAACAATCAACCGCCAAGAAGGAGGAGGAGCTGCAAGTGGTACGCAATCACATGATCAAGGACATGCAGAAGAGATTTGGGGACACACCCGTGAAGATACTGCTGCTGGGAACAGCCGAATCCGGCAAGACCACCATCTTCAAACAGATGAGAATACTGCATATAAATGGCTTTACGGATGAGTACGTTTCTGCCTCCCTTGATTCTTCCTTTCCATCTTATACTCAAGGATCTCTCTCTCCGTCTCTTCAGTGAGCGTCGCGATCGCATACCTGAAATATATCAAAACATCCACGACTCCATCCATCAGCTGGTGCTACAGATGGGCCTCCTGGGCCTGGACTTTGGCAGCTGCACCAGTGAACGCAGTGCCGACTATATCCTGTCGCTGCCCGGAGAGGCTCCGGAGTACATGAATGAGGTGAGCAGGCGTCTGTCAAGTGGTGGGGGGCTTTAACATGGGCACTGTCCAAGTGCTATCTATATCTTATCCCCTGTGCGCTGCACTTCAGAATGTTTTCTGTCGCAGTTGGCAGTTGTGTTGGTATCAAGCAAACGACTTTGAAGTTTCTACAAGCATTAGACTTGCGTCAAATCCCCTCCTGCTGCTCGATTGAAACGTTTTTTTTTTTTTTTGTTCCTGTTATCTCTCACCATGTATCTGGCGGTGTGATTGATTACCCATCCATTACCCATGATTGCGTTGTGGAATGTCTGAAAACTTTCCAAACAAGTGTTTCTGGTGTTTGTCCGTTCGATCGACTTCCTTCGGACTTCCTCGAAAACGACTTTTGATTTTATAGCAGAGAAGCGGCACACAGCTGCAATGAATGGCCTTTGATCGTACGCCCGCCGCGCCGTCTGAATCATCGTAGTCCAGTGTAAAGAGAGCCACAGCCAGAGTCTATCTATCTTTTATTCTCTGGTCATTATATGGCTTATACTCGCACGATGCGATAAGATTAAGACAAGACCTTTTTTTTTTGAGGGTAGTGGGTAGTCAGTGGGTGGGTGGGACGTTATTCAGAGGCCACATGCCAGTCATTCATGGTTTTATGCTTTACCTAATGACTAATACTAAACATTGAAATTGTTTATTTGCATTTCAGGAGTACTGCGACCACGTCATGACTCTGTGGAACGATGTGGGCATCCGTGCGTGCTACGATCGCTCGAATGAATACCCCCTGCTAGACAGTGCCAAATAGTAAGTGATCTTCAGGATTAAAACTCCCAAAAGGATCGCCTTACTAAAGGTTTATTTATTTTTTGTCTATCCTGTAGTTTTCTCGATAACTTTGTGAGGATCAGCGATTGCGCGTATATACCCAGCACCGAGGACATTCTGCACAGTCGGAAGATCACCACTGGCATCTCGCAGATCACCTTCCGGGTGCCCGTGCCCAAGAGCCTGGGCGGCGGCGAGCAGGAGTTTCGCATGTACGATGTGGGGGGACAGCGGGATCAGCGCAACAAATGGATTCAGGTGTTTGAGGGCATACAGGCGGTGCTGTTTCTCGTCTCGTGCAGCGAATTCGATCAGAATCTGCGCGAGGATCCCAACCAGAACCGCCTGGAGGAGGCCCTGAAGCTGTTTCGACGCGTTTGGCAGAACCGTTTCCTCGCCTCCGCCGGCCTGATTGTGTTTATCAACAAATACGACATCATGGAGCGGAAGATCAGGGCGGGAAAGCACATCGTTGACTATTTCCCAGAGTACGATGAGTTCTGCAAGCGGCCGCAGCAGGATAATTGCTTTGATGAGTGCGACTGGACGAAGATGTTCATCAAGCAGAAGCTCGTGGACATCACCCAGGAGCCCTTCAAGCGCCATTCGCGCAACAACAGCGATCTGATCACCTCCGAGCGGGAGTGCTACTACCACTTCACTGTGGCCACAGACACGCGCTGCATCCGCGAGGTATTCAGCGATGTCCAGAAGATGATCCTCTCCGAGAATATGTCCGGCACGGGTCTTTTCTAAGGCGGACCTCTCGCTCTTGCTCTCTCTCTCTCAGAAAGGGAGTGGTGCTCCCTGTACCAACTGTGATCTTACTTAAGTAGGAATGTAGAACCTTAGATCATAGATAATGACTTGTATTCATTATACGTTAATTGTATAATGTGCACACATATATGTATGCATCAGAGACAGCTTTAATATGATTAATTTTAAAGGAATATTCCTAAGTAAAAAACACATTATAAAACACACTAAAACAAAACCCAATGTCTCATTATTCTTTCAACTTACTTACCTCTCAATATTTGAATTATACGTAAGAGTAATGAAATCAAACCCCCCAACTTAGAGTATCAACGTAAATTATGCTGTCGTTGCCTTCTAAGAGGGAGAACTTATTATTGCAGCGCAGCGGTAGATTGCTTTGAAAGTGTCGCTTTGCCACTGTACCATCGTTCAACGTAAAGTAGGGATTTTGTCGTGTCAGCTCATTGGCAAGTAGCTGAGAAAAGATTGCTGAGGCAAGCAGAACGGCAGCAATGGATATCAGCAGCAGTTTTTATTAGATAAAGAGCAGACATTATGAATCTACCAGATTGGACCACCCACGCTATCATGTAGGTGCCGTAGGAACCATTCGTCTGCAAGGGTATCCCAACGCATCGAACCTCGATGCTCAGATATTTTTATTGTTGATATAAGAACAACAGAACCCAAAGAATGATTTTCGCAACCTAAGCATTTCCTGTGAAGATATGTGTTGGAAGCTGCCGAGCTTTTTCGGCAACTCTGACTCCACATTTACAATAATTTACTCAGTTGGTTAAGTTTACAAATGTTTTTATTTTATCGACGGGTTACAAAGGTTTGAGGCCGTGGCCGTGAACTACGAATCGATGCGTTCGACAAATATTTGGACTGCCACGAGAACAGGGCGAAGCAATGCACTATAAGCAGTACTGACATATGTGCGTGTGTACGGGAGCGTACTGAGAGAGCGATTTTTAGTATAAGAGATGATATATGACTTTATGATATTAATTTGTTGAGATCTATTAACGGCTGCTGCTCCGAACAATATGAATTTATTAGGAATAAAAATACGATTGTTGCTGCTCCATGAAAAGCTGCATTATAATACAAATAGAAAATTTGAAATCTGCTTTTATCTCATTTAGAAACATTAAAAAGTTTAGAGATTTCATTGTAGCTGCGATTCTGGTCAGCATAGCGAAGCTCCGAAAGTAATTGTGAAGCTGTACAGTAGCATTTGTGACGTTCCTCAGGACTCATACGATCAAAAATATTTTGTTCATGTGCCAAAAAGAATTCCAGTCTGCCATTTAGTAGACAAACTACCAAACAGTTCCACATCTTAATGAAGAGAGTTGGCAAATCTGTGAACCAGCTTACTTTTCCCAGTTGATGGAGCAAGATGGTTTTCAGCATGTAACTTGATAGATGGGGGAAATCACTCGCATGAGCGTCGCGCAATCCCTTCATGAGGCGCAATACATTTTTGAAGTTATCCAAATCCATCGTTATCTGGCGTTCCCAATGCGGGGCACATACCATAAAGGTTCGCTCGTCCGTTGAGCCTTTTTTGGATTGTGGTACAGCGAACCATGGAAATTTACGTATTTTCTTCTTACGGCTGTTGTAAATGCATGGATTGCCCAACGGCCACTGAGCCCAAGTGAACTCGAATGCTGGCACCAAATCAAACGATATGTTCCGATTCTTTCCTTCAGCTTCAATGGTGTGGGCACATCCGTAGCCCTGGGCCGTGTACATTAATTCGTATACTTCTCCAGTCCTGCAACGAACACTTAGCTTTGATTTAAACACCTTATTGAATGCATCGCGCAGCCAATTTTGAAGATTTTCTCGATCTATGTAATTGTCGGCAGCAATAGAATGATAGAAGCCACTTGCAAACAAAAATACGAATCCCTTCTCGTCTTTCTTCGGGGTGATTTGCAATGGCAGTTTCAGTTTCATATGCAAATCAAATTCATCAGGTGTCTTCAATTTCACCCTGTCCAAGTAGCTGCCTGAAAGAAAATCGGTATTAACCATTGTGTTATGGCTTTCCGCAGGTTTAATAACTTACCTGCAAGGCTAAGGCCATCAAAAGCTCTGCGAAAATTATCGTCTGCCAACTTTAGTTTCTCAATAACATGATTTTGGATTTCAACAGCATCCTCAGTGTACTTGGAGCGATCACGGTCAGATATACGCAATTCATCCAAAATATTATGCAGTTCCTCTGCAAAGCCCATGATTGATTAACGTCGGAGAACAACCAGCCAACTGATCGCACCAAGCAGCATCTTTTAGGTTTTCTTAGCCGTTAGCTCCGGCTTGATAGTTTACACTATCGACTGTGTGTGATCGATGTTTGACATATTGCTATCGATGGTATTGTTTTTGCAGCTCTACACTGGTGTGTAGTAAATGTGTAGTTACCATGTAAAAATAAGCACATTTTACTTATCCTACTTTTCTTATACTCCTATTTTATAAACAATCCAATAAAAAGGAGTGTGTCAAATTAACCAATATCGACCAAAATTAATTCATCAGTCAGATAAAATTATGCGATCAGTGTAGAAAGTCTTAGCACTAACCATACAGTATATAGATGTGCCAGTTCATACACCGAAAGTGGCGCAGCTGCATATACATATGTAAATATGTAAATACATACATAAAATTATTTTAGTTAAAATCACTTGTGTTATAAAATCTAAAAAATATAAATTTATTGACAAAGTCGATAGTACGTTCGTGACTTATCGCTTTGGAGTTTAGCGGCAGGATTTGTGGCTATGTTATCTTGGATTCTGATTTGGTGCATTCAGAGTATTCATTTCTCGGTCTGCCAGCAGCTTTAAACTCTTTAAAACGCGTAATTTCCGTTGGAATTGTTCAATTTATAAACAATAATATAGCTTTTACCTAATTGCATTCTAGTGTTTACATTTTCCCTTTATTTTGCCCTTCTGTCAGCGAGAATTTACCATTTTTTCCTCTCATATCAGTCAGCTTATGTCAGCAAGCAATTAAATTATTCGTTTCATATCAGTCAGCTTTTGTCAGCGAGCATTTCGAAGTTTTCGTTTCATATCTTTCAGCTTTTGTCAGCGAGCAATTAAATTATATCGTTTCATATTAGTCTGCTTTTGTCAGCGAGCATTTACAATTTTTTTTTCTTTCATATCCGTCAGCTTTTGTCAGCGAGCAATTACATTTGTTCGTTTCATAGCAGTCAGCTTTTGTCAGAGAGCAATTAAAAATTTTCCTTTCATATCAGTCAGCTTTTGTCAGCGAGCAATTGGAATTTTCGTTTCATATCAGTCAGCTTCTGTCAGCGAGCACTTACAATTTTTACTTTCATATCAGTCAGCTTTTGTCAGCGAGCAATTGGAATTTTCGTTTCATATCAGTCAGCTTCTGTCAGCGAGCACTTACAATTTTTTACTTTCATATCAGTCAGCTTTTGTCAGCGAGCAACTAAATTTTTCGTGTCATATCAGTCAGCTTTTGTCAGCGAACAATTAAATTTTTCGTTTCATAGCAGTCAGCTTTTGTCAGCGAGCAATTAAATTTTTCGTTTCATAGCAGTCAGCTTTTGTCAGCAAGCAATTAAATTTTTCGTTTCATAGCAGTCAGCTTTTGTCAGCGAGAAATTGTAATTTTTCGTTTTATATCAGTCAGCTTTTGTCAGCGAGCAATTAAAATTTTCGTTTTATATCAGTCAGCTTTTGTCAGCGAGCAAATAAATTTTTCGTTTCATATCAGTCAGCTTTTGTCAGCGAACATTTAAAATGCATTTCATATCAGTCAGCTTTGATCAGCGAGCAATAAAAACATTTTTTTCCGCTTTTTGTATATTTTTTTGTATTTTTTATTAAATTTTTACATATTCTTAATATTTAAAAAACCGGTCTAAAATAGGGATATGTATATGTAAATGTGCAATTTCAAGTAAATTAAACAATTAATATATTTTATTTTTATATATTGTATTTATTTTCCACCCCCACTCTGCCCATTTCTCAATTATGTTGCGACAGGTCAGCTCAGGTCGCTACATCAGCCCATGAAACCCACCAATAACAGTATGTGAGAATACATGGCACACACACATTTACGTTAATTGAAATCTCCAGCAAAATCGGTTCGGCGGCTAAAAATTATTCTATGCATACAATCATATATTTTAGAGTGTTACACGCTTGCTGCCCGTCGGCTCGTGTCACGTTATGAGCCGAACGTGGTCAATCCCAGAGCCGAAGTCCTGGGAACGTACGCTGAAAACTCAGCTGCGCCACTTTTGTTGGTCTTAGCTTTCTGGTACTATAAAACAGAACATCAAAATCGAGGAATATCAACGAAACTTGTCGTGTCCGTCAGTATATTTACGGTATATTTTGATAACGACAAGGTATATTTTGGTATATTTCTGGGGGTCATGAAGGTATACTTTATCGATAAATCCGCGGTCACACTGGTACTGAGTGCTGTTAAAATTTTTTTCTGAAACGTACACATTGCTCGCTACGTCTCTCTCGAATTTGACATAAATATGTAGTTATTTTGTAGCAAATGTGTAGTTAGCGTGTTGTTACCATGGAAAACATTATATTTTCAACAGATTGATTTTTGATTAAACCTTCTTTATGAAAAATTGTAATGAAAATGGATTGGCAAATCTTTACGGAAATTGATTAATTAATCGTAGAAAAATATATTTTCAGCGCTGAGAGTCTTATCTTGCTAGCAATATTAAACGGAAGATCAAATTCGTGGAATATCAACGCATCCGTTAGTATATTTACGGTATATTTTGATAACGACACGGTATATTTCGGTATATTTCTGAGGGTTCCGTGGTATATTTGATCGAAAATTCCGCGGGCACACTGCTTTTATTGACGGGGCTGGAAAATTTCGTGAAAACAGAAAAAAAGTACAATAATTAATAATTTCGCAAAGAACTGTACATTAAACATCACAATATCATGAACATGTAAGTGCAAAAGTATTTCGCAAGCTTGTTTTGCGCTTTATAGACGTTTTTACGGCCATGCGGCAGTCGGCGACGCAGGCGAAAATCAATAAATTCAAAATGGCAGTAACTCATGAAAATTATATAAAAAAGTACCTTTGCCTTTCATTTAAAAATTTGGCTGTGAATTGTAAGGATCTAAATTTATATTCATGGCAAACAACGGTCGTTCCAGGTATAACGGACAGGTTAATGCCTACGGAGGAGGGGCAGGGGCAATAGGCGGCATGCCCCCAAATCGCATGGGGGGCCCCGGCGGCGGAGCTGCTGGTGTCGGAATGTTCCAGCGCAATCGCTCGGCACCGTATCCGGGCTTTGCTGGACCTAGCAATGGCGGCCCACGTCGCATGAATGGGACTGGACAAGGTCCACGCATGGATCACGGTTTCGGGGGAAACCAGAATAACCGCACCTCTACACATGGCGCACATTTGCCGAAAATAATTTGGTCCGAGGTTAATCTGACACCGTTCCGCAAGAACTTCTACAAGCCGTGCGATACTGTGCTTGCCAGGACCCAGGGGGAAACCGAGAGTTTCCTCACAAACAACGAGATCACCATCAAGGGGGATCAGGTGCCAACACCCAGTATTGACTTCGAAGAGGGCGGCTTCCCAGACTACGTGATGAACGAGATTCGCAAGCAGGGCTTTGCCAAGCCAACTGCCATCCAGGCCCAGGGCTGGCCAATTGCCTTGAGTGGACGAGATCTGGTGGGTGTGGCCCAGACTGGGTCGGGCAAGACCCTCGCCTATGTGCTGCCCGCTGTGGTGCACATCAACAACCAGCCGCGCCTGGAGCGTGGTGATGGACCCATTGCTTTGGTTCTGGCTCCGACTCGCGAGCTGGCACAGCAGATACAGCAGGTTGCCATTGAGTTTGGCAGCAACACGCATGTGCGCAACACATGCATATTTGGTGGAGCCCCCAAGGGTCAGCAGGCCAGGGACTTAGAGCGTGGCGTGGAGATCGTGATTGCCACACCGGGACGGCTCATCGACTTCCTCGAGCGGGGCACCACTACGCTGAAGCGATGCACCTATCTGGTGCTGGATGAGGCCGATCGCATGCTGGACATGGGATTCGAGCCTCAGATCAGAAAGATCATGCAGCAGATCCGTCCGGATCGTCAAGTGCTGATGTGGTCCGCCACCTGGCCCAAGGAAGTGCGTCAGCTAGCCGAGGAGTTCCTCACAAACTACATACAGGTCAACATCGGGTCGCTCACGCTGAGTGCCAATCACAACATATTGCAAATTGTCGATGTTTGCGACGAAAGCGAAAAGCTTGGCAAGCTGATCAAGCTTCTGTCGGACATCTCCGCCGAAAACGAGACCAAGACCATCATCTTCGTGGAGACCAAGAAGCGAGTGGACGAGATAACTCGCAATATCTCGCGTCAGGGATGGCGTGCATGCGCCATTCACGGCGACAAGTCACAGCAGGAGCGCGACTTTGTTTTGTCCAGCTTCCGTAATGGACGTCACTCGATCTTGGTCGCCACAGATGTGGCCGCTCGCGGACTGGGTGAGTAGACATATTTTGGTCGGCACTGAGCCACCACTTGTTTCTCTCTCCATAACCAAGCAATTGTTGCCTGTGGATCGATCAAGCATCCCGTGGGGTTTCTTTCATTATTTTGTGATTCGTCGTCGACGCCTCCTGGTTCGTCCCAGAGCATCCGTCAGCGATGAATCGGCCAACACCGACCCAGCCTCTTGCTCTTCCTTCACGCTTTCAATCTGAATCTGAATCATAATCTGATTTATTACTCCATCTCTCTTTCTCGTCTCTCACTTGTCTCGGAGTGAGGGAACTTGACCTTTTTGCATTTATAGGTTAAGTTATTTTACGTTTATATTTTGCATGTTAAGTTATTCGACTCTCTTCCAGCTTTTGTTAGCATCCGAAGTATCCAAAGTCCAATAATCCCAGATTATTATTATTTAACAGGGATGCGAGCTGGTCCAGATCAGGTTTATATTGTGCTCCGGCTGCGACTGAGACGGAACCACAATCTAATAACCGATCCGAGTTAATCAGATCATTCGTTATTGCGATCATTTTTGTTTTTTGTTGTACGGTTGTACGGTTCCACGGTTCCTTTCGAGGCGAGCCGCCGCTTAGCATCCCGACTCGCGATGCACCTCAAAAATCCTCCGATTTCAATCCCCTAGAAGACCTAGAAGACCCTTTGCTAATGACAAAGGGTGTGCGAAGAACTGGTGTGGGCTCAAATAATGAGGGGAATTTGTTTGTTCTCCATGCATTGCTGGTTATACGATATTTGATTACTACTTTTAGTTCGTTAGTTTGTTGCTCTCTCTCTCTCTTGCTCATAGTCTTTAGTTGTGTCTCGTCAAATCACGTTTTGAGTAACCCTAACATGTACTCGTAATGCAATTTATTGTCAGTCAAGGAGTCAGCGGCCAGCAAAATACTCAAACAAAAAAAAAACAACAAATAGTGACTAATTCTAGTGCACCTTAAGATCAGAAAAATAACCGCTTATTGCAAGGAAAAAATGTAGCCTAAAATATAACAAATTTTTTTTTAAATTTTTTTTTTGTTTCTTAAGTTATTTTAATAATTAATAACGTTGAGTAATTGCAACATTTTGCTGCGGCCCACGAATTTGTTGACTGATGCTAATTTTCCTTAGCTTAATTATGTACCATAAAGTATTCTATATTTATATTACGTCGCTCCTTACTCTATGTATAAAACCGAAATTTGTGTGTGAACAAAAATATCATCAGCACTTTACGAAATGGACTTCGATTTTTAAAAATGGCAAAAAGAAAATGAACTAAAACCTAAAACGAAAAGAAACAAGCAAAACAAAACAAAGAAATGAAAAGTTTAAAGTTGAAAAAGTTACATATACACAAAGAAGATAAAGTTAATGAGAAAAGCTATACATATATACAAGTTGAGGGTTGAGTTATTAAGTTTCTAGCATATCCAATCGGACATCCAGTCCAGGGACACGGACAGAGATAGCCACAGGCACAGGCAGAGGGACAGGATCAACAGGGACACTCAATCGATCGTAAGCCTATCTCTATAACCTTATCTAAACCCTAGGTCGCTGTCAGGGTAAGTACTAGGCTAATTTAGTACTTCCTAATCATAGCTACTATACGATCCGATACGCACCCTTTCCTTCACTCACCCAAATATCCCTAAAAACCACAGTCCGCCCCGCGCCCCCTTGAATAATCATTCCCAGTGAAATTTATAAAATGTAGATCACCCTATCTCCGTATCATAAGCTTATAACCATACCGTACCCAAACCGTATGTGTGTTTTTATATTAATTATAATCATAATTTTTAATCAAGCCGTCTCTCTTGTATGCATTAAGCTTTAAGAAAAAACATTTATGTTACGATTTGTGTATTGAAAAGAAAAAGAACATAAGAAAAACATATTTAAGAATGATGAGAAGACAAAGGTCGAGGTCCACATTTCTGCAGTATAGAAAAAACATATATCTAATTGCCAAAGATGTATAGTTATTAATATACGCTAATAGTATTGATGGCGAAATTTTTGTTCAAAGTACAAAACCAACTAAAAAAAAAAAAGAAAGATAAAACAGAAATACAAAACGACAAAATCCATTGACCGATTCGAAAAAGTATATATTTTAAGTTCTATTAACAAACACAGACACAAACACACATGTACACTCGCACGGACACCACAAAAACAGACACACACATACACTATAACCCACACACACACATGAATAAGTTTCCGTTTTTGTTAAATAGTTTTTTGAGTAAATATTGAGAAAGAATCCTATTTTCGCCCCCGCATATTGGAAAGATTCGATATTTTTTAACATTTTCTTTCAAACTTCTTCAATTTTCAAATTCGAAATGAAAAATATAAATGAAATGAAATGAAAACAGACGTTGACGATGTTAAGTTCGTCATAAACTACGATTATCCTTCGAACTCTGAGGACTATGTGCACCGCATCGGGCGCACCGGAAGATCGAATAACACGGGCACAGCATACACCTTGTTCACTCACTCGAATGCCAACAAGGCAAATGATCTGATTCAAGTCCTCCGCGAGGCCAATCAGGTGAGTCTTCCCCGATTTCTTGAAGTTTCTTATTTCTTACGCAATTTTATTTCAATATCTTTGCAGGAGATCAGTCCAAAGCTGCTGAACATGTCCATGAGCGGAGGATACAAGCGCGGAGGTGGAATGGGCGGCGGCTACCGCGGCGGCAATGGCTATCAGGGTCGCAACCAGCAGATGGGCGGAGGCTACAACGGCGGTAACAACTACCGGAACAACAACGCTAGTGGCGGAAACATGAATCGCAACGGTTTCAACGGCGGAGGTGGAGCCCCACGCTTCGATCAGAAGCCGCGCACATCGCCACCCAATCCGGGCGGCAACGGTGGCTATCGTCCCCAGGGCCACCAGGGATATCAGGGTCAGCAGCAGCAACAGAACGGAGCTGCCTTCTCGCGGTTCAACCCCAATGCCGCTTGTTTCGAACCGAAGGTACAGAACGGCCCAGGTGTACCGCAGCAGGCAAATCCACAACAGCAGCAGCTCAATGCACAGCAGCAACAGCCGCTGCTGCCCGATGCAGTTGCCCACGCAGCCATGGCAGCGGCTGCCAACTACGGTATTGACCAGAAGCGCTCCCGCTTCTCGCCGTATAACATGAACTTTTCCAACATGCCGCCGACAGTGAACCAGCAGCAGCATCCGCAGCAGCAGCAGCAGCAGCAGGCTCAGCAGCCACATCAGCAGCAGCAGCAGGCGGCGGTGGCTGCCGGAGCTGCAGGAGGCATGCCTCCTCAGGCGTATGGACAGTATTCCTCAATGTCCTCGAGCATGGCGACAGTTTCCCTCAACGGCGGACCGACAAGCATGCCCAATTCCTACCGCCCCCAGTATGCTGTGCCCACACAGGCGGCACCCTACATGATGGCCAACGGCGGCGACATCTACGCCTACCCGCCTCCCCCGTTGCCCGTACAAAACTAAATCACACAGACAAAGCCATTTCTAAAGAAGCTATCAAACTGTAGGCCCGGCTCTGCTGTATTTAATTTAGCTTACAAACACACACATTACAACAAACACAACAACAAAAAAACACCAAAACACATCCCCTACACATCCCCTACACACAGAAAACCACACCTAATTGGAGGACGCACACTGATCAGAAATTAGAAATTCTGATCTAGAGCGACGTCATTGATACGTTCTTCTGTGTAGATCTCCGCCCACGTCTTAGCTATATAATATGGTTTAAACTGGAATCAAATACGCTTTTAATTTGATAAATCTCATCGTTTTCCTTAACCCAATTAGTTGATAAGATTTTGGTTTAGTCAAATTTGTAGGGCATTCGAGTGCCGAACAGCAATATTGTTGGCATTTATATTTCCACGGCCCTGGGCGTATTTGATTTCATTATACAATTCTCGAATATTGTATGTACTATTCATTCGACGACACACACTGCAAATAAATGTTTGTAATGCTCTCCAAACAACCAAAAAAAAAACAATCAACCTACAAGTTCGGAAAGTTTTATACCCAAAACACACTGGGTATAGACCGAAAACAGGAACAATTTTCACACTAACGGACACACAACAAACAATGTCAATTTCTTAGAATCAAACGCGTATTATATCATCTTAAACCATATTATGTGACTAGTCTAATTAATTGCCTATCGGCGTATTTCAAACTAAATAAAAAATTCAAATAAAACAACTAAAAACAGCCACAAAAAGAAAATTTAACAACCTATAATACAGAATGAAATTCCATTTTATGTGAGCCTTTAAGCAAGAATTGATCGATACAACAGATATGAATAAAGGAATTAATTAGACATTCGAATGCGTTCTTCCTTTATCCAATCCCCCATTGGCCAAAAACTATGAAAATGAAAGGTATGTCTGGTTTCCACTCTCTTTAAAGTTTAAACTTAATTGATTTGCTTTTATTTTTCATTTAAATATACATATACATATATTCATATAAGAAAAACTATTATACATAAAAAATGATCATAATAATCAATAGAACAAAATTATACAAATATTACAAGACAGCTTCATCCGTTAAATGGTTAATGGTAATCATCTACACCATTTCAAGACAAAAATATTTGATCGTTTTAAAATTACACCATGAGAATTATGAATAACAAAATTTGTGTATGAGAATGTAGAAGTCATTGGTTTCATTTCAATATATCATTATTTACTCGTACTTTGTATGATTTGTGTTTGCTTTCTTCTCGGGGGCTCTCCTCTCCCTTCTTTTGTGGCATTTGCATATATTGTATATCGCCTTATGACGCTATACTCGATCTCTAAATCTATTAACTCCTTGCGCTATCCTCTCCTCCATTAATCCTTTGGCTGCCTCGTGAATATTACATTTTTTCTAGTTGTAATGCTTGTATTTTTGCTCCGCATAAATTTAGTAGTTGTTTTCACAGTTGCCACATGAAATACGTTTTGGAGACCAAAAACTGACCCAGGAAGCAATTGAACATTGACAAGGACTCCATAAAAAAAAAATAAAAAAACAAAGCTGGCCTGTTGTTGCTGTCAGCTGTTGTTATTTTTGTACAACAAAAAAGTTTTTGTTGTTGTACAACAAATGTTGTTGTTGTACAACAAATGTTGTTGTTGTACAACAAATGTTGTTTTTGTACAACAAATGTTTTTGTTGCACAAAATTTTCAATGTTAACCCCAAAAGTAGGCTATGATTTAGTATTCAATTGCAACTAAAAGTATGCAACATTTTTCCAATCGATAAAGTTGCTTTCTGCTGATAACTGCCATTTTCTGAACGATCTGGACGTCCAACGAATTTAAACCGGGGAAAAAATGTTTCATTGTATTGATGCCGAGCGACAGCCCGAGTCGTCCCCATCCTAGGAAAGTAGGTCCTTTACCGATCTGGGCCTATCTGCCCGAGATAGAGCGCCCCGAAATTTTACCTGTGCAAGTTCTGGTTATTTTTCAGTACGCTATATCCCGGCTATACAGCAACCGATCGGGGCTTGGAATGTAATTTTGTGATCAAGAGAAAACTGCCAACCGATTGGTACAAAAACGACATCCAAGACGGACGTTTGGGATCGGATCGATTGACCGAATTTATATCTACAAAACGAAGGTTTTATAATATCTTTTGTCATTGTACAAAATCTTTATATAATAATATCGAATTAAAACTATGAATAAAAGCAAAAAAAGGACCATGTGGTGGAAAAGTGGGCCAGCGATCAAAAAGAGGACCAGTTTTGGTGGTTTGGGGACTAATTGTGGCAACCGTGATTTTAGTAATTAATACGCGTATAGGTTTGTCGTATAAGGGGGTGACACAATCTACCCAGTTCGGGAGGGGTCTGAAACATCGAGTGCAGTTTTACAATTTTTTAATTGATTTTCTTCGATTTTTTTTTTGGTTTTTCGCTTTTTTTGTCTTTTTCCTGTGGTATTTCATAGTTTTGGTTAATTAGTTCTTTCTGTTCTTTGGCTGCGGTTTATCTAACATTGATTCTGTTCAGAATGTGGTTTTATCCTTTGCTACGGTTGTGTTTGCGTTTGCTTGCTGTTTGTTACATATATAGATATCACGATAGTTCCTGCGAGAACTGGGTCTCCAGGGTGGGTCTAGTTCTAGTTGGATTTCTGCTGGGATTGCGTATCGGTGGTCCTGGGCTGCCATAGCCCGCGGCATACAGCTGCGGGCACGAGTCTTTTATGAGTTCCTGCGTCTCGCGCAGCTGCCGCTGCACTTGCGGCGCCAATCTCTGAACGCTAATGGCCGCAGGAAACTTGTATTCCGCCGGGGGTGCGGCCTGCTGGAAATGACGGAATGACACAATTAGGATCTATTTGGAATTAGTTGCATTTTAGTCTTACCTGCACTCCGTGCATGATCTCGCCGTAGTAGCCACCCGGCGGCGGTGGCGGTGGCGGCTGCTGTTGCTGACTTTGGCTGTGTGGAGCGCTTTGTGTTTCATATGTTTCGGGGGCATTGAGGGCAGCCGAAGTCGCCGCTCCCTGGGGGGTAGTGCTCGGTGCGCCATAGTAGGCCAGCTGCAAAGGCGCTCGTCCCACTCCCACCCCGCTGGCGCCGGCGCCATTAAGGAAACCCGTTGCACCCGGCTGCTGTATGAGCTGGGAGCCGGCTGGGATATACTGAACGGAAGGAGGGGCTGCGGATACGGGGCAGGAGCTGATCGGCGGCGAGGGCGCCGCTCCATACATCAGTCGCTTGGGACTGACGCTCTGTGGCATGGATCCGGCGGGAAGGGACAGCATATACTGCTGCTGTTGTTGGTACAGTTGCTGCTGTTGGAGTTGTTGCTGATGAATCTGTTGCTGCTGTTGGAGCTGTTGCTGCTGCTGGAGCTGTTGCTGCTGTTGGAGCTGGGCAAGCTGAGCTGCGGCTGCCGCAGTGGACGTATGGACAATGTTGGCATCCATCTGGGGCAGGAGGATGAGCTGCTGTTGCTGTTGCTGCTGTTGCTGCTGTTGTTGCTGGTAGAGAACGGCTGCCTGCTGCTGATGCTGCTGTTGTCGCCCCACCAAAACATGCTGAGGTAGATACTCCGTCGCAGCCATCGTACCACACGCCGATGAGGGCTGTAGTAGGAGCCCTGCGCTTCGCGGAGGCTGCTTAAGTGGCACCTGCACTTGTCGTATGGGCGTGGTCTGCAGCGAGCGGCTGGCAGAGGAGCAAATGGAGGCGGTGAGGCTGGCAGACTCCCAATGCTGGCGCAGGGCATTCAGACGTGCCTCCTCCAAAGCGACTTCCGTCTCGCTGGCCGAGTCGTAGTCGGGACCCTGCAAAGGTCATAGGTTACTTGAGTGCTTCGTCAACATAATCTTCAGTACTTACCTCATCGATCTTTCTGTCCAGCATGCGGAAAAAGTTCTGTTGGCTTGAGGATATTTCCCTGGAAATGGTCAAAACATTGTTAGTGGGGGAAAGTTAGTGGGAAAGGAATGGCTTACTGGCTTTGCAGCAACGATAGATTCTTGGCACGCAGCAGTGACACGGCCACATCTTCGTCAGAGTCCTGGATATCCTTATTGCTTTGCTCCTCGCTCTCCTCATGCTTCTCGCGGTCGCGTTGCTGTGCCTTCTCGGCATCCTCGATGTGGCCTTCCTCCTCATCCGTTTCGGCATCTGAATCGGCTGTGGGGAGATACCAAGGACCAGAGAACTTTATAGAAGATGAGTTGGCAATTTCGAGAGTGCCACAAAGTGGCAAAAGTTAAGCAATAAAGCGAATGTGCAACTTCTGGTCGGCTTGTTCGGGTTGGGGAGCTGCTGCTCACAGCTCACAGCTCGCCGAGTGACACATATTGAGAGCAGCACTTGGCGCTCTCCCAGGACATGGCTTGGCATACAAATTCAAGAAAGTTCCATTCATCTTTAATAACTTTCGGTCAAGACCTGTTTACAGCTTATGTTTCTTTGGGCCTCCTCTTTGAAGTTGGCCACAAATTTAATTAAAAAAAGAGTTATGCATTTTAATGCAAATCCAAAAGAGAGACGGCAGAAAACCAAAGCCACGAAACGAAGGTTATTATGAATAATTAATCTAGGATCCAGGACGAAACGAAAGCGTTGCCTATGTGCCTATGAAAAACGAGAAATTTGGGTCGTTTATGGCACAATGGCGCCTTTGTGTATGCTACACATTTTGGCTTGAACCCTTCCACACACACACACACACATGCAGAGATAGCGAGAGAAAGAGAAAGCAGAGGACCCTTGGGGGCAGACCACACCCACCAATTCGTAGGGCCCATTGCAACAACAAGTTGCCTTTTTAGCAGTTAATTATACACAAACACACACACACACGCACACATACACAGAGAGAAAACACAAAAGGAGAAACGTGAAAGAGAATAGAGTGGAGGAGGTAGAGGAAGTGGCGATAGGGAAGGAAGGTGAACCACCGTTGAACGTGCTGGAAGTGGGGCATAGTCAAAAGTTTTCCCCATGTAGGTTAGATTTTTACATTTTTATAAACTTAAGAGCAAACACACACACACACACACCAATGCACGTGGCGTGTGTACATACACATATAGTATATATATAGACAATGAGGGTTTTTTAAATGGGGGTTTTTAAAATGTAGGCCTTTATTACTTGGCTGAATGCATGGGCCTCCTCCTCCTCTCAGGGCTCCTCTGCCGTCTCTTTCTGCTGTTCTGCTGCTAGTGACATATTAATCAATGATGTCCTCATTGTGTGGAAACAGGTGGCTCACACAGATACAAAACATTCACATGCAAGCACACAAACACACACACTCACAGAGGGACAGACACACAAGCATATGTATGTATGTATGTACATACGAGTAGAGTATGTGTGGCAAGATTGAAGGCAAATTGATGTCGTCATGCGTGTAAGCTTTTGTTATTGGAAGGTAACTCTGTCGCCTCCCGATCGACCTCGACACCTCTCTATCCTCCTCCCCACGGTCCCTCCCGCCTTTCGCCCAACACTCACCATGTCCTCCTTTCTTGCCATTTGCTTTACTCTTCGATTTCCTGGGATATAAATGTATCTTGCTCTGCCCGCAGCCCATCTTCCGTCTGTGCCTTTGGCAAAGTTGTTGCTGCTCCCGCTGCTGCTTGTATCTCTGCTTTTGATGCTGCTGCTGTCTGTTCCTCTGCCTCTGCCTCTTCCTCTTCCTCTGCTACTGCGACTTTTGTTGTTGTCTTCAATTTGTGTGTTTCTTTATTTTATTATTAATTTGTTGCTCGACACGTTCTCCACGCTCCACGCTGTGCCGTGTCTCGTGGGGTCGTCTGTAGCTTGTGGGGCGCAGAGACAGCGGTCGGTTGTCTCTCGAATCTGCGGTGCTCTCTCTCTCTCTCTCTCTCTGTGGCGGTGTTGTCTTCTCTCCTTGCGATTTATTCTCCACTTGAGCTATTTGCTCAGTTGCTCTTGCTCCTCCAGTGGGGGTGGGGACTGTCTGCTCACTTCCTCCCACACGTTCTACGGAGCTGTCTTCACTCTAAGTTTGCCTTTTCTTGGGGTATCCGCACGTTCTGTGGCTGTCCGTCTCCTCTTCTTTTGCTCGCACGTTTTCTGGCGGTGTGCTGCTCTCTTTCACGCACTGTCTCTCAGGCAGAGACTCTTTTATTTACGTTTTCTATCAAACGTTTCAGTGCCTCTTCTCTTTTCGTCTCGTCTCGTCTATTCTTCTGTTTTATTCAATTTTCACTAATTTAACTATGTGTGTAAATTTAATTTATTTGATTTGTTGCTGGGATTCTTGCCGCTGCTGTTGTCAATTTCGAAAGATTCCATAATAGCAACAATAACAACAACAACAGCAACACCAAGAATTCCTAGTGGAACTCTGACACCCAGACACCCATTTAGGCAAACACCCACCCACCCAACCACCTCTCTCTTTCTCCACCACCTCTATCCAGTTCAAACCAAATAGAAATGATTTTCCTTCTTTTTTTTAGTCGATGGTGGTGCTGGTGGTGGGGGGTGATGCAGCAACGGAAATTAACTTGGGACCTGTGTCCCGCCCCTCTATAGATGGCACTCTGTCTGTCAACCACTTGTTCCTTGTTTCTGCTGTCTCTGCTGCGTGGGGCACACACAAATTCGATTTGCAGCAATACTCGTAATTTGTTGTAAACAGGATATCAAAAGGGGTTTGCCAGCAGACATCAGGCACCAGGGAATACAGGGTATGCGAAACTGCTTGAGAGTACTTCTTGAAGCCATGCAAAAGAGGAGGCTGGTCCGCGCGCGATTTTACCTCCTGCGTAGTTTGTGCCTTCTTTTGGCGATAATTTAAACAAATAATAACAATATTAAGCACAACAAATGGTGCAACAAAAACACTTGAATTACGAGTAGATTCAATTATTCTCTCGATGGAACAGCGGCACACACAGGGCAGAGGCAGTGGCAGTGGCAGCCACTGGTTCTCTCGCACTGGACTTATAATAGACACACAGACAAGCCCAAGGTGTATTTTGTGCAGGGTAAGGTATATCCACTCTTATTTTAGATTCGATTTAGATTAAAGTGAGATCTATGGTCCACGCACACAAAATATTAAATAGAAGGCAAACAGAGCGATCTTCTGCCTTACCCCTCTATCGAATATACCATGTACACACACACACACAGGCCCCACACTTGCGCCAAACAAAAAAAAAGAGAGAGCACACGCTTGGGAGAGCATAAGAGTGCTCTCTCCTTTTGCTGCTTACTGTAGCTGCCGCTGCCTCTTGTGCTGCTGCTGCTGCCGCTGCTGCGTGCGAAATTGATTTTTCTATTTATAAAAAAAAAATCAAAATATATCCGCTCGGGTTCGTACGCTTTTGTTGCTCGGCATTTTCATTCCTTTTTGATGGTTTTATTTTTCGGCTGCCAGCAAAACATAATTTATGTTTTATTTATGATTGTTTGATATCTTAAAGATTTCCATTCGCACTGCGGTCCCCATTGGGGGCCGCGTTTTTATACGTAGAAACTTGTTTGATTTATCCCATCGGCCACTTGGGCCCATTTGGCCCTCGTATAAACACACACACACACACACACCACACCACACAACGACGGCGACGGCACCTCCTCTCGTTTGAGACTTGCTGCATTTACCGCTAACGAATTAATTTACAAACGATTTCAGCTTAGTTCTAGGAGCTAGGAACTTTGACTTTTTCTTCAGCTTGCTTTTGTTTCAGCGTATTTACACTCGATTTTCCTGCGGAAAAGTTGCCGAAAAGTTTCTTGACGCGTTGCTTGTGTGTGGAATTTTGTATGCTGAAATTTATGCTGCCTGACACTCCTCTTTGTGTCACACACAGCACACAAGAGACACAGAGAGAGAGAGAGAGAGAGCAGCTTGACGGCATACCAACACACACACAAAAGCGTGTGCTCTTGTGCGCTCTGCCTTGCTCCGCTCTATAATGCAGGGGTGGGTTTTTGGGCGAAGCTTTTGCACAAGGGTTCATTTTGCTTAAGCTTGCAGCATGCTTTTAGGGGGTGAAATGAAAGAATGAATGAATGAATATGAATGAATGAAGCTTGGTCAACCTAGGATATGAACTTGGATGAGAGCTTTGTGCTTTCACTTAAACTTCTCCGCAATGGTTGGCAACACTTTCGCAAAAGCTTCTGCCAAAGCTCCAGCAAAGGTCAAAGGTGATGATGATACTGGGAGGGGGGTTACACTTAGCAGAAATATACACAAAAAAAACTCTATCTGTCATGTTAGGCCTCATTAATTTCCACAGAAGCGAATGCTGAATGCTGACCATTCAGCTCCGCTCTACTTCCGCTGCACAGAGGAACACCAGGACCACGGACCCTTCAGCAAGAACAACCCTCTGACGTTTCGCCCCTCGGAATTATATTACCAGAGTATACCAGAGAAGAGACATGTAGATGCCATTATTTATTGCATAATAATGAAGTGAGAAACGTTACAAATCAAAACACTCGACAGCATCTAGATAAACTTTTGTCCATTGCCAGTATTCTCCCCGTTTGTCTTTTTATCATTATAATATATAACATATATTTTTGGGGCAGAAACATTGGCATTTTTTCCTTGCATTTGTCAGCCGCAACGGAATTGAAACGTTTGCGCTTTTATTGCCACGAACGTGTGTCCCAAAGGAGCCAGGGGCTGGGCACAAAGGCTGGTCAGGGCAGGGCAGGGGGTGGATATTCCGTGAAATGGTGGGAAAAATATGAAATGTATATGGCAATAGTGGACAGGAAGCAATATACAACAAATGCGAAATGATATCTTCCCATTGATCTGCTGGATTGTGGCATAGATGGGGTGGGAATGGAGTCTAAACGGAAGCTGAGGGATGGGCAAGGCATTCTGAGGCTGATGTAGCCTGAGAATATATCCCGAAATCGCTGAAATATACGGCCCAAAGGTTGTAACCACTCAAATGCTCCCACAATCTGTGCTCCATTGCGAATTATGACACTCCTGTCAAAGGATTGTCCCCTCGTTTAGCTCTTGATGATGGCAACATATGTTTCTGTCACATTGTTTGGCTCTTTTTTCATCGCCTGCTGCAACAATTTGGGGCCAGCTTCCGATTAACCTGTTCCCATTGTCGCTGCTGGCGGAGGCCTGTAAAGCATTTAGGAAAATTTTCGCACTCCTTTCC